CGGGGTCTCGTGGCCCCGCCCCGATCGCGTCTGGCCCCGCCCCCTGGAGCTCTCCGAGGTGCTGAAGCCCCCTCCCCCGCCCTAAACCCAACCCAGACTCTGCCCCCGCCCCGCAAAGATCCCCGGTGGTGGGCTTGGCCTCAGGGGGGCGCTTAGCGTCCAACATCAGGTAACTCTGGGGACCCCGCCCTCCCCCCACGGGAGACACAAAGAAGGTGGGTGGGAAAGGAGGGTGGGGAGGAGAGGTGAGAGCAGACAGGTGAAGTGGACAGGCAGTGGCCCGTGCCAGTGACCTCACAGCTCCAAGCCCTGCTCCCCAGCTGCGAAATGGGGGCAACCATGAGCCCAAGGTGGTGGTGGGGACGGAATTTAATAGAAACACACAACGTGATCTAGAGCTGGGTACCACCAGCTTCCAGATCCCCGCCTGCCTCATTCCCGTTCCCTTTGAGGGCTGCTATCCCAAACCCAGTGCTCTCTCAAGACTGGTCCCCCTTTACCCTCAGCCAGCTACTCATGGCTGAGCCCTGCCCTTGGCTTCCCAACCCTTGGCGCCTCCTTCCCCCAGTGTTGTCCCTCAAATGCATGTTCTGCGGGGCGGGCACCCCTCTTACACCCAGACACACCCCAGGGTGGCTTCTTGCATTTAAGACCTGTTACCTTGCCTCCCGTCCTCTGGGTGACTTCCTGGGATTTGTTTGGTTGCTTCTGTTCCCTCCATCCCTGCTGCTGTCATTTCCTCCTGGTCTCTCCTTTAAGGCCCTCTGCCCCAGGTCAGGTTCTCACCAGCCAAACCTCACTGCTTCTCTGGCCTCCTGAATCACATAGTTCCTACCTTCCATGGGACAAGGCAGGACAGGGAGACAAAGCAAAGGAGTCCAGCTTGCAAATCTCAACTGCCAGCTGGCCACACTGGCCCTTTCCCTCCATGTGGTAAACCACAGGGACCTGCCCTGGAATAAGCAATCCCCTGCTCCAGCCCCGAGAACACCCCAGAACCTAAGGTGGTGGCACTCTCTTCTCCCTGCCATTAGGGCCCAAAGGGGTGGTGTGGCACTTTACTTTCTATTTTGGCTCAAGCGGCTCACACTAGGCCCTCCCAGGAACCATCTGCTACTGTGGTGCCTGCCTTTTCCTCCCAAGAAAGCAGTCGTGCCTAATTAACATGGCTAATGAGAATGGCTGCTTGTGTCAGCTCAGAAGCACTCTTAGGAGTCAGGTGTACATTTCTGTGTAAGACAGCTCCTTCTTCCAGAACCTTATGCTCCCAGGTTCAACCAAAACCACACAAAATGCCTTAAGAAGGGGGCGGGGGGGGGCACCAGCTCAACTCTTGGTGGGAAGGAGGTCAGCACACACTTCAAAGTAGATCCAAGGAGGAGCTGGGTCTAGCCCCTCCTCTTCCTCTCTCTGTGCAGGGCTGATTGGGGAATTTTGAATGTCTTTGGCTTTGCCTGGTCCCTTTCCCGGCAGGACAGCCATGCACATGGAACTCTGGCCAGATAGCCTAAGACAAAGCCAGCACTCAGGCCTCAGGTGTGGCTGTGGCAGATTTCAACCTGCCCCTCACCGCACTGCTGCATGCAGTGGCTACATAGGGTGAAGGGTGGGTTGAAGGCCCAGCCACAGAGCAGCGCTCAGAAACCTGGTCCAGCCCAGTGTGTTCTGCACTGTTCTCCCAACTGACCCCAGCTCTGGACCTGCCACTGGGAGCTGGCCTTAAGTCTGTCTCCAAGGAGGAAGAGGCTTCCAGCCCCAGCAGAAGCAAGGTGGTCTGGCCAGAAACATCCCTCAGGCCCTGGTCCCCAGATCCTCATGAGACTGACAACACAGCTTAACTTAGACAGGATCAGACGTTTATAAACAAATGAATATTCACAAACTGTGGGAGAAACACTTTCGCAGCAAGAGAAGAAAAAAAACCCTATAAAGTGCATTTTTTTCTGCGACCATCTCTTCCCCATGCTGGCCCTTGGAGCAGGATTCGGGGTACTGTCTGTCCTGTGGCAGCTCCAGAGCCACTTGGGCTAGAAGGGAGGCATGAAGCTGCTGGAGCCCCTGGCCCCTGCACACTGTGCCCCATAGCTTTGGGACAGGACTGCTTTGTTCCACTGGAAGCCATCCTGGAAACAGGCCAGCACTCCAGCAATAGTGGAGGGTGGGGTGGCCTTGCCAACTTGCTTGTCAGGGAAGAGTGTCATCATTGAACAGGCAGGAAAGTCATCCCAGGGGGTGAAGGCACTTCTCAGTAAGAACTGAATGTGGCCCTCAGCCCTGACCCTCAACAGGCTGACCCTTCATGTGCAGTCCTCTCCCCCTGGCAAGACCCCCCCACTCCTCCCTGGCGGGAGCTGAGGGCAGAGGGAAGACCCTACCACAATGCTCTGAACCCACCCCATCACCTGTGTTTGTTTCCCCACATGGCCCTGGGACATACTAGGTGAGATGACAAACACAACAGTTGGACTCTAAAAGCAGGTCTCTGCTGAAAAAACCTGGGGACATCTCAGGAAGAACCCTGACAATATGCTGGACAGCTGCAGGGGACAGAAGCCTGGCCCCTGGTCCTGGCTGAGGCCAGAGGACAAAGAGGGCCAGGGGGTGAACAGCTCTGAGGCTAGGAAAGGTCACAGGGGAGGTAGAGAGGAAAAGGCCCAGAGGCCAGCTTAATGTTATACATGAGAACAATCTAAACAGGAATTAGCCTTTGAGCTTTATGGGTAGACGTAGACACACACACACACACACACACACGGACACACACACGCACACACGCGCACACACACACGCGCACACACACACACACACACACACACAGAGTGGCTCAAGTGCAGGCCACGGGGGTGGAAGGAAGACTTGCTCTGGTTGACCACAGTCCTTTCTTTTCAGGATTGCTTTCTCCATATGGGCCTGTGGACGTGGGAGGGAGAGGCGGGAGGACAGGCCCTCCTGGAATACAAGGCTCCGCTTCTCTGACCAGACCTCCCACTGCTGCTTCGGGAGGGAGGGTGTGCTGGATATATTCTCTTCTTCTGCCAACTGCCCCTAGCAGTGCCCACCCCTCTGCCTGAGACCTTGGCTACTGGATAGCTGACATAGCAGCTTGGGTGCTGAGAAGTAAAGGGCAGGCCATGGAACCTTATAGAACAGCTGGTGCCAGCTGTCTATGTTGGGGCACTGTGGTGCCTTGGAGTGTGGCCAGAGGAGTCAGAGGGGCATAAGCCATCAGGATCTGGTCTACTCCAGGCAGAGGTACCCACTCTGACCCTGCCCTTTGCAGCTCCTGGCTAGATGGAGACTACCTCAAAGCTTCTGGGGAAGGAACAGTGAGAGCTGAGATTCTGCTTCTCTCCCTAGGTTCAAAGCCTGAAAAGGTGGGTGTGCTGTCTTGGGTGTCTCTGTAGTGCTGGCACACTCATGACAGGTACCTGGGTACACGCTGTATGATGGAGGAACCTTCCCAGCTCTGTCTACAGCCTCGTGCTTATCACAAATGCCCACGGAAGAGTCTGTGGCACCAGGGGCAGGGATTTAGAGTAAGATGACAGGGATTGTGGTTAAGTCTGGACAAATCTGCCTACTCCAGCAAACCAGCTTCCCAGGGTCAGAAAATGGGGACTCAGTGGATGCCTCTAGAATCCCACACTTTGGACAGAGCCCAAATCTAGTCCTCTGACTCCTCAGAGGGATGTGAGGATGGGAGCAGATGCCAGAATCCCAGCTAAGGTGGTACTGCAATGTCCTATTAGGACAAGGGGGCTCTCAGGGCAGGTCTAGGCTGAAGATTAGCGCCATGACTTCTGGGCTCAAGTCTGTAGGCTAGGAAGAAGTGCCCACTGGGAGGTGTGCTCCAGGTACTCCTCCCACCGAGGCAGCACTCAGGATCATGAGAGTGTAAACAGATGCATGCACACGCACACAGCACACCACTCCTTCCTCTGCACACACGCACACACACACTTGCTCTCTCTTGGTCGGCAATCGGCTTCTCTGTAGGTTGCACTCTGTGGCTGTGGTGGCTGCTTGGGCACCCAGTCTTTGCTCATGGAGCTAGGACTCTGCAGCTGGAAGAGAAAAACAAGTGCAAAGGAGCATTCAGGAGGATGTTCAGTTGCCCGGAGACATGAGCACCTCTGCTGCTTCCCTGGGGACACTCAGAATGGGAGCTGGGGAGGCTCATCCTGTACTGCCCAGACCACAGTTCTTGAGAACAGGTAGTTGCATCTATGTAGTGTGAGCACAAGATGAGCACCCTGCGGACAAATCACCAGGGCCAAGTGCAGCAGAGAGGACAATGCTATATAACAATCACTTAAAGCCTTGGGTGACACTTGCTCACATATGATGGGAGCACATCAGCTGCTTCTGGAGATGGAGAATCAACAGAAGCTACACATGAGTGAGTCTAGATTTAGCAGGTGAGCAATTATCCCTCCCTCCCTCCCTCCCTCCCTTCCTCCCTGCCTTCCTTCTTTCCTTTGTTATGGAGCTTCAACTCAGGGCCTGGCTGCTGTCCCTGAGCCTCTCTGTGTTCAAGGCTAACACTTTACTACTTGAGCCACAGCTCCACTTCCAGTTTTATTGGTTAATTGGACATAAGAGTCTCATGGGGACTTTTCTCCCTGGTCTGGCTTCGAACCATGATCCTCAGATCTTAGCCTCGAATAGCCAGGATTGCAGGTTTGAACCACTGGTGCCCAGTGGTAAGCAAATTTCTATGTACAGATTAAAAAAACAAACAAACCTATCACAGAGCTAGAAGATTGGGGGAGGGGACAGAAAGGTGAGCAGACACCAGCATGACTCATTTTAAATGTGTATTAAGATCCTGAATCTGGGGCAAGAGAAGAAACGGCCTCATCGGTGAGAATAGGTTTTGAGACTGTCTTGCCTGTGTAAGGAGGTTTCTTATGCCTGAGCCTGCAGAGACTCTAAGTCTCTACAGCCAGAATGCTGGCAAGGTGGGGCATGCAACACTCACAGACTCACTTGGCCTGCTGTGGGTCAGTGTTCCACAATGGTGCTCTGGCTGACTCATGTCCCCATTCATATATGCAAGACTTAGTCCCAGTACTTTAGAATACGAAAATATGAGGGTGAGGGGCTGGGAAGGTGGCTCAGTGGTAGAGCACTTGCCTTGCATGCCTGAGGCCCTGGGTTCGATTCCTCAGCACCATATAAGCCAAAAGAAAAAAGCTGGAAGTGCTCTGTGGCTCAAGTGGTAGAGCGCTAGCCTTGAGCTGAAGAGCTGTGGGACAGCGCCCAGGTCCAGAGTTCAGGCCCCACGACAGGATCTCCCCCCCAAAAAAAAAAGAAAAAGAAAAAATGAGGGTAACCCCTAAACCAGAACAAAGAGGAGATATAGACCCAGACTATGTAAAGACACAGGGAGAAGGCATCTATCTACAAGCCAAATGGAGACCCCATGAGCTGTACCGTTGTGTCTGTGGAAGCTGCCAGTCTGAGGTACTTTGTTAAGGCAGCTGTTACAAACCAATGCAGTTTGCAGTCCATTAACCCTGAAGATATGGCCCCATTTTCAGGTGAGAAGAGAAGTGACTTTAGCAAGACAAACACACTCACTTATAAGTGGCAGAGCCAAGACAGGGATCCCAGGTCTTTACAATTCCAAAACCTGTGTTGCTATGGCTTCTGTAAATTAGTAAATTCTGTAAATTATATGCAGCATTCCTCACTAAGACTTTTAGAGAATGTAGAAAGAAGAAACAACACAGTGGCATAAAGACTAATACCTAAGCAACAGAAATGGACGTTAAAATGTTACAACAAAAGGACAAATGCTCTTAGAAGTCTCGCAAGCATGGCATCAGGCACCAGTGGCTCATGCCTATAATCCTAGCTACTCAGGAGGCTGAGATCTGAGGATCTTGGTTCAAAGCTAGCCTGGGCAGGAAAGTCTGTGAGACTCTTATTGCTACCGGAAAGCCAGAAGTGGTGCTGTGACTCAAAAGTTGTACAGTGTTAGCCTTGAGTAAGAAAATTCAGGGGTAGTTCCCAGGCCCTGAGTTCAAGCCCCAGGACTGGTGCGTGTGCATGTGCTCACACATACACAGAGGCATGGGAACCATGTCTCCTACATCAGTCTTCCAGCACATGCTAAATCTGAAGCAGACTGTATGTGGATGATAATTTTCTTAGGGGCTGGGTGAGATGGACAGCCAAAGTAAGAGTGAGAACCTATGGGTCAGTTCTGAATGCCTCATTCCTACTTTCAACCATTTCCCCTTTTAGCAAGTCCTGTAATAGCCATATTTTCACTACAAATAAACACACTTGTTAGTGTGCTGAAGCACACAGACAGTGAGTATGTGTTCTACAGAGAGCTGGCCCAGTGAAGCCACAGGCAAGTACTCTCTGAGATACAGTAATTTCCTATTGGAGCATATGCCACTATGGGTCCTCCAGCTCTAGTTGTCTCCATCTTCAGAACTTAGAGGAGACAAAAGCTGCTTGTAGATTATTCCCTAGAACAAGAGGTTGTTCTCAAATCTTCAGAAGTGTTAAGGACAGGTGGAAAGAACAGTTTGTGAAGACTCTACAGTTATTGGCATGGAGGTATGGGCATGGAATACATATGTATATATATACATACATACATACATACATACCTCTATACATATATATTCCCTGGGACTCCAACTTAGGGTGGATGTCCCTTAGCTTCTGTTCTCAAGGCTGGTGTTCTACCACTTGAGCCAAACCTCCACTTTCAGCTTTCTGCTCACTAATTAGAGGTAAGAAACTTTCCTGCCTGGGCTGGCTTCCTGTGTAGCTAGGATTATAGGTGTAAGCCACTGGCCCCTGGCTTATGAGTACGTACAAATTGTAATAGTATATTATGGGGTACCATGTATTCATGTATATGTGGCATATGTATATGCTGTATGTTGCTTATCCCTTCTTCTAGGTTTTTGAAATACATAGTACATAAGTGTCTACAGGCCAACCAGAACCTTTTATCTCTATCTACTTACAACTTAGTCCTGTTGGTCAATTGCTCCCTGTCCACCCACACCCTCCAATTCTTCCCTTTTCTTAACATTCCCCATGTGAGTGAGATCATGGGCATTTTGTCTTTCTAGGCCTGGCTTATTTCACTTAACAGGATGCTTTCCAGTTCCATCCCTGTGGTTGCAAATTGTAAGACTGCATTCTCTTTTACTGCTGAATGGCACACCATTGTGGACATGTGCATGTTCTGGGGGAGAGGCTCCCCCTTCCATTGGCCTCTCGAAAGGGCTTGGAACCAATGTCTCAACGGCGAGGCGGGAGCTAAGGAGCAGCCAGGTGGATGCTCTGTTACCTTGGGCAGGCTCTGGACTGCAAGTGCTGTGGACTGACCTCAGACAAGCCCTAGTCACTCACATCTCACTCACTGCTCAAAGCCACTATCAGAGAACACAGAGGTTTAGAAGAAAGCAAGTCAACGGTGTTTCTTTTTTCAAGCTAGGGCAGGTGTCTGCAGAAAAAGGGGTGAGGGAAATCAAAGGAGCCTTGCAGGACAGTGATGAAGTAGCACTACAGGCTAAGGAAGGCAGCCAGGGGTATGACATGGAGGGGAAATCAACTCATAAAATGGGCACTGAAAAGCCAGCCTCTGGTGGTCCTTCTATCTCCACCTGTCATGAAAAGCGGCAGCTAAAATGGCAAGGAAGCTAATGACTGCCTACTCTGCCCCCAGTGTTAGGACAGTACCTTTGCCCTCACAGCCTTTCCCATTCCTCAGATGTTACCAAGAGGCAACAACTGGCCATGCCCTTCTCAGGCCCCCAGCCTGAGGGGTGTGTGCTAGCATGCACACATGAGCTTGCGCAAGTAGGATCTATAAAAGTGGGAGTCATGGGAGGACTGCAAGAGGCTCTGAAGGCTGTATCTGGCCCTCAGGGCTTCCCCTCCCCCACCACGTAAGAGTATGAGAAAGGCAGTGGGCCAGCGAGTGGCTTCCAAACCAGGACCCAGGAAGTCCAGAGTTGCATGGAGCTCCTTGGAGCACAAGCTGTTGTTCTCAACTTAGTCTCATGCTTTCAACCACACCCTTCCCCCCCTGCACCAAAGAGTCCAGGAGAGCAACTCTGTATTCAGTGCTGGTGGACACTGAGCTCTTCCTTCTCACTTCTAGGTCAGGAACGGAGATGGAGAGACGGGACCACTTAGCGGGGTGAGGGGGAGGCCTCACAGCCACAGTAGCAGGAATTGGGCGCAGACTTGGGCCTGAGTGTAGAGCACAGAGGCTGGGCTCTTTTCTGAATTTGATAGACTGTCAGGGCCTGTCACATGCCAGGAGGACAACTAAACAAGTGTCAAAGTGACAGTGAAGAGATCCCGCAGGTGAGGTCTGGGCAGGCTGGGGAGGGGAAAGGGGCTCCTCGGCCATGAACTTTCTACACTCAGCGGGACTTCTCTCCATGGGTTACTATGTACCTGCAGAAGGACAAATGGAACATGTGGGCTGTCCTTCCATGCTAAAATAATTGGACCAATGAGGGCCATCTGTGCACAATTCAAGGCCAGCGGAATCCTGAACAGTCAGCAGCTCTGGGGATTATGGAGAAGCAGCTGACAGGAGAGCTCTTTGGAAGCTGGTTTGTTTTCAGTTTAGCAAACATTGTAAAACCAAACTAGATGCAGAACATTCGCTGGTGTGGATTGGAGGTGAGCATTAAATCTAGATACTCGATGTGTTTTTGTACAGTACCAGTTTCAACTGTAAATGACTGTTTATCCTATATCGCGTCACAAGCCAGAAGAGTTGGACTTCCAGAACCACAAAGCCATAGAGCTCAGAGCTAAGAGACCTCAAAGCCCAGGATGGAATGTTCAAGTTGGAAAAGAATGGTCATTCACCCCTCATGCCTACAGCCTCTCAAAGTCACATGACTAAACAGGGCAGGAGAGAGGTCACCTCCTATCAGTATAAAGCTCCATCAACTTCTGCCTCAGAGCAGTGCTGTGGCCCAGCACTGACTGAATATACAACACAGAAGCACGCGCAGGATGACACTGGTTTCACCTGAATGCGGCACTTTACTATTTGTGACCATGCTAGGGCTTGAACTCAGAACCTTGAGCTCTCACTTGGGTTTTTTGCTCAAACTCAGTTCTCTACCAGCTGGGATTTTTCTTTTTTTCTAGTTAATTGCAGATAAAAGTCTCCTGGACTTTTTTTGTCCAGGACAGCTGTGATCAAGGATCTCAGATCTCAGCCTATTAGATGGGAGCCACCAGCACCCAACTTGTGTCATGTTTAGTTTTCTACTCCCTGTTCCTCATACTTCTGTTGACAACAATTTCATGCATTAGTAGCATTAGCTACTAAGCAATCTTTACTCATACATCTAACATCTCTGTTATTCTTTTTTTTCTTTTTCTTTTTCTTTTTTCCCAGTCCTGGGGCTTGAACTCAGGGCCTGGGCACTGTCCCTGAGCTGCTTTTGCTCAAGGCTAGCACTCTACCACTTAAGCCACAGAGGCCCTTCTGGCTTTTTCTGCTTACGTGGTAATGAGGAATCAAACCCAGGGCTTCATGCATGCTAGGCAAGCATTCCACCACTAAGCCACATTCCCAGCCCATATCTCTGTTCTTTGATCTTACTTGAAATCAGAGCACTGGCTGGCAAGTTTCAGAGTTATATTGAAGGCATTGCTTAGTATCAAAGAGCTGAGCGATAGATAGCTGAGGGAGAAGCTATCTACAGTTGTATATAGTACCAGCTCCCAGGGAGAAGATAGTACAATCTGTCCACTGGCAGTCCACGTCAGAAAGCCCGGTCAAGGCAGTGGGTCTTGCTGAGCAAACAACACTAGACACTCAAAAGGATGGCCCTGACGAAGGAAACTTTCATAGAAAAAAAAAGCCCCTCCTATCTACTGACGCAGACAGGCGTGTCAGGAGCAGCCTGACACAATGACTCAGATAGGACAGCAGTCTACATTTTCCTGAAGAGAGGCGTAATAAAAGGCCTTTCCTGTGTCAGTGGAGGAAAAGCCAGGGTAGGTTCGTTTTGTTTTTCCTTTTTTGTTTTTTATGACATTCAGGAGGCTTCCAGAAAAGATGTAAAGATGATCTCTGTCTTGGAAGTGCAGAGCTGCGGCCCTGGTGTGGGAAAAGGTGTAATGGAGGAGTGGATATAAAAGCTACAGCTGATGGGAGGTTGGGCCTCTGGTCCTCAGTGACTGAGCCAGCACTGCACAGCTCCGCTTCCACATCCACAAGCTCAGTGCTGCCCTCTAGTGGCTACCTACATAACACAGCCTGCAGGGGAATGCTGACTGGAGCTTATACTTCCCGTTGGATTTGACCACCCATTAAGGAAGAAAGCACGAAAACCCAAAACAACCAAAACATTCCTTTTTCTTCTCTTTGGTAGGCCAACATATCCAATGGCTTTGGTTTTTAAATTTCCTTTTAAGTTTTGGAAGGTATTTCAATCAGGATGATAGAGTTTTCTTTTTTGGTGGTGCCCAGGACCTGGGTGCTGTCCCTGAGCTTTTTTTTGCTCAAGGCTAGTGCTATACCACTCTGAGCCACAGCTCCATTTCCAGAGGCTTGAACTCTGGGCCTGGATGCTGTCCCTTAGATCTTCAGCTCAAGCTAATGCTCTACCACTTGAGCCACAGTGCCACTTCCGGTTTTCTGAGTGGTTTATTGGAGGTAAGAGTCTCACTCTAGACTTTCATGCCTGGGCTGGCTTTGAACTGGGATCCTCAAATCTCAGCCTCCTGAGTAGTTAGGCATGAGCTACTGGTGCCTCATGCCTGTTTTAAAATTTGTTTTTATTTTGAGACAGAATGTTGCTTAAGGATGGCCTTAACTGTGCAAGCTTACCTCTGCTTCCCTAGTAGTTGGAATTACAGGCATGCACCACTATGCCTGGCAGAAGCATGGGATTTCTGAGCTGAAACCCTAAGCACCAGGAAGCCCCCTCCCAGGTTCTAATCTAGTTGGTTGTTTTAGCCTCCTGCAGACCACGCCCCAGCTTTCTCCCACCTTCCTTCCTGAGGAGGACTCTAAGCTGCTGCCACTCACGCTCAGGAGTCCTTGCTTGGCAGCTCTGGGGCAGGCAACTCCGCCACCCTGGCCCGTTTGCTGAGTTCCTCACCAGGCGGCTCCTCAGCTGCTTCCAGCTTGCGTTTGGGGGAGGCTGGACTGCTGGGAAGTGGTCTGGGGCCTGTGAGGAGGCATGACGCAGGGTCACAGATGGGACAGACAGGCACAGGACCCCACAGTATGCAGTGACAGTTCTTTGGGGATAGTGAGTCTCAGGCAGGCTGCTCCTCAAATCTTCCCCAACTGTCCTTTCAACACTAACTGCTGGAAACCATTTTCACCCAAGGCCCTTGTCATCTGAAATGAGCTTATTTGGTTCCCTTAGTGTCTTTTGGCTCCTGGGGGAAACAGAAGCTTCACTCTGCTTGTACTCCTTTTGGCCTCAGCCCTGAATGACTCTAGTAGTGGCACAGGCCACAGAAGCTCACAGGAGGCCAAGGAGACTGTGGGCCAGAGGCTGCTACTCTACTCACCAGTGCTGCTGATGCTCCCAGCCTGGCTTGAGCTAGGCTCAGCCACTGGGTGGCTGAGGTCTTCCACACACGAAGGGACAGATGCCAGCAGACCTAGGGGAGATGGGTGCAGTCAGACTACAGCCCTGAGAACTAGAGGGTTGCAAGGCATGAGAAACAAGAGGATAGGCTGTATCTTCTATTACCCCACAACTCCCCAGGGAGGCCAAATCTAGCCCAGCCTCATGGCCAGTGTCCCAGGAAGTCAACTTTTCAGCCTGAAGACCACCCCCATTCTCCCTTTACAAACACCTCAAAAGTCCCATCTATCCCTCTGCTCTGCAGGTGTTGGTGGGAGAGGGGTAATGAATGGCTCCTTACAGAGTCCCCGGTATCGTGAGAGCTGCTGATAGATCTGCTTCATTCGCTCGATGTTGAGCCGGCTGGTTTCAGCATGGTTGACGATGGGCCGTGGGTAATCCACACCAATGATGCACTTGGCTGCCTTCTGAATCGATTCTGGGGCATTCCAGGGCTCATAGATGTATCGAGAGGGGAAGCCTTTCAATCTAGGCAGATACCGCCTGAAACATACACATCCAGATACTGGTCAGCACACCTAAACCCTCTTCCAAAGGCCTAGGGCATCATCCCAGCCTAGGAGGAGGTCACAGAGGTCAGGAGCCTGCATCCTCACCTGATGTAGTCCCCACTGGGGTCCGTACGGCGGCCAAAGCCCACAGGGCAGTAGCAGTGGAAGAACTGTTGGAAGAAAGCACTGCAGGACAGCCACATCCAGCTGCCGGCGTTCACGCTGAAGTCCGCGTCCAGCAGTAGCTCATCAAATACCTGGTGGGGGGGGGAGGGGAGGAAGATGGGGAACAACCAGCCTCCTTAAGAATCTGCTGCCATGGTTCTTCCCAAGTCACTGCAGCACCCCAAGGAGCCAAATCCCTGTGCAGAGGGCCAGCCACCAAGGATGCGGAGATCTCCTGGGCCCAGGGCTCCCACCCCTTCCTCCAGCCCAAAAGGTGGTTGCCCTTGGCTGGACCTGATCATAGGGTATAGGCGAGCTTCTGCTCTGAGAGCACTCACCCGAACCCCGCTCTCCCAGCTGACCCAAAGGTCCCCGCGGGTGAGGAAGCAAGCCACAGCGTGCCTGGCCAGGTGGTGGATCCAGCCCTCCTGCCTCAGCTGGGTCATGATGGCGTCAATCCAAGGGAAGCCTGTTTTACCCTCGGCCCACTTGGCCAGGGCCTCAGGGTTGCGGTCCCAGGGGATCTGGATGCAGATGGGGTTCCCCTCCATGCGGTCAAATCTGGGGTTGTTAGTGGCTGCCGTGTAGAAGAACTCTCGCCACAGAAGTTGCCCGAACAGGGACAGGGGAGGTGTGCTGTTCCGCTTCACCTGAGGGGTGAGCACAATACAGCTCTTAGCCCTGTGCCACTCAGGTCTCTCCCACAAAAAAAAAGAAAGAAAGAAATCTGGAGACCCCCAAACAAGGGATGCCAAATGCTCTAGCTATACAGAAGAACTACCCTAAGAAGTGACATGTGTGTCTATAAGACAATGCCCTGGCCCTGTCTGTTGGGCTACTGCTCTCTGCAACATGAGTGACTACAGCCAGCCGTGGGAAGGGACACTGCTGCAGGACACTGCCATAGGAATCCAACTCCTCAAGAAAGGCAATGACCCTTGACCTCAGCATTCCTCAGTCAGGTATACTTTCTAGAAAGTCAAAGGGAGTTTACACATCACCATGCATAAAATATAATCTAGATTTTAGCTAAATGAATTATATACAGTCTGGACCTGGGGCTTCAATGCAAATCAGGATTACCTACAATTACAAGACTACCCACCAAACTGGTAGTGCTATCCATGCCACCAAATCCTGATACTAACAAAGATGGAAAAATATTAAAAATGTAGATGTAAGCACGCATTGGTGGCTCACAGCTGTAATTCTAGCTACCCAGAAGGCTGAGATCTAAGGATGAAAGTTCAAAGCCAGTCTGGAAAGAAAAGTCTGTGAGACTTATATCTCCAATTAGCCAGCAAAAAGCCAAAAGCAGAGGTGTGGTTCAAGTGGTAGAGTGCCAGCTTTAAGCAAAAAATGCCCAGAGAGAGCATGAGGCCTGAGTTCAAGCCCCAGTATGTGCGCGCGCGCACACACACACACACACACACACACACACACACACACACACACTGCAGACAAAAACAATCATCTGAAAGCTGGGTGCTGGTGGCTCACACCTGTAATTCTAGCTACTCAGAAGGCTGAGATTTGAGTATCACAATTCAAAGCCAGCCCAGACAGGAAAGTCTGTGAGACTCTTAGCAGTAATTAACCACCAGAAAACCCAGAAGTGAAGCTGTGGCTCAAAGTGGTAGAGTATTAGCCTTGAGAAAAAGAGCTCAGGGACAGTGCCCAGGTCCTGAGTTGAAGCCCCAGGAAAAAACAACAACAACAACAATCATCTGAGAAATACCAAGGCTGACCTTCTGTCCTCTCTTCGGGGAATCGCATGGCCCAGCCCAGCATGCAGCCTTTCCAGACCAACCTTCTTATTGATGAACAACTTCACTCATGGGGTTCCCTTTCAGCACCCTGAGGGCTGTGTTTCTGTATCCCCTTCTGGGTTTGTTTAGATCAGTGACTCTGTGTGTGTCTGGCTTTGCCACTTCTTGAAAATTAACTCTGGGCCAAGCACCTATAGGACTCTCAACCCAAGATTCTTTTCAGGATAACTGGCAGGCCCAATAGGATGGAGTGAATGAGGCTGCAAGTGAATGTGGTTGAGTCATCCTTGTACACCTCACCTTTTTATACAGGTCCCACAGGCGGTAGTAGAAGAGGCGGCAGGAGAGGCAGCCGAAGCGCAGATAAGGGCTGAGGCCTGTGGGGCTGGCCAGCAGGGAATTGGCATTCATCCGGGGTCTCTCATAGTTGGCAACCCAGGCCTGCAATGGGGAAGCAAGGTGGCAAAACAAAAAGCCTAGATGTTACAGAGGGGGAAAAAAAACAAACAAACAAGGTCCTGGGTGCTTGAGGGTTTTCCTGAAGTCAAAGAACAGAAAGGCATAGAGCTCACTAGCTCTTTATGGTAGCAAAGGTGGACATGGAACCACCACCAGGGCAAACAAGAGGCCATGCTCTTGGCCTGACTTTGCCAGGGGAATGGGCTTTGGCCCCTCAGCCACTATCTATTAAATAAGAACAGAATTTCCCATCCCTTGAGACTTAAATGAGAAAATTCTGTTAGCATAGAACAAACTCTGTAATTACATAGAAGAAAAAAAAGTATTCCTAGCTCAGCTCTTGTCACCAGGGGGTGGAGGTGATGTCATAGACCTCCCAAACTCTTCGCCATTATTCAACAGCAGCCAGGGAAGGCAGAGACTCACCACCCATTTCTGGGGACCAACAGAGAGACAATCACTTCTGGGGCCGCTGGTCATAGAATATGATTGGGCATGTGTTTATTAACAGCCACTGGCATAGTGCTTTACTTTCCTGACTTGTCCTTGCCACATGCTCTTATTCCATCTCCACTGTTCTCTGAGCAGCAGCCATTCTGAATACAAGAAGCCAGGCTCCAAAGGCTCCCATGCCCTCTTGAGGTTCCAGAGAAGGGAGGGGATTCTAAGAAACAGGGCTGCAGAACTTGGCTTCTGACTCCAAGTTCAGTCTCCTACATTTATGGCTAATAACTACTTTCTCTTCCTCCCCTTCCCCACACTCTCCAGAGACCTCCACCCACCCCACCAGCCTTTAGATCACTGACCTTTCTTCCTTCCTTATAGTAAGGAAACCAAGTGGGAAATACCTCAACTGAAGGCCAGAGAATCTACAAGTTCTCCTGACTCCTCCCCCCCCCAGGACAATCCCCAGGGCCAAGGCCTCCACTTGGCTTTGAGCCCTCCTCTCTTCCTTTCTTGCATAATCGTCCTAACAGTTTCCACTCCAAGAACATAAAAAATGATCTCATGTCTCCTCTCGGCAAACTAAACCAAATGAAACCAACTACCAAAACAAAAGGACTTGTGGAATGCTGTGGGACTCCATACACGGCCCTGGTTTCTTACTTGACAGCCAACTAGTCTCCATTTCCCCCCCTCCCACCTCTGCTTTCCAGCACACCTGGCTGGCTCCAGCCTTTACCATTCAACCTTACTGGTGCCCACTGACCTCCAGTGACTTCCATGTTACTGAATCCTGCAGGCATTCGCTGCCCTTGTATTTGTGGAGCTCTCAGTAGCCCTGGATCCTGCTCTTACTGAACCATCTCATTCCTCTATTCTTTGGGCCTCAGTGACTCCCATGACCCTCCAGAGACACTTTCCTGGGTGCCTCTCACCTGGCTAGCTGCTGGCTATGCCTACCACAGGCTCCATTTCCTCTGCCCACCCCTTCAATGTTGGAGCCCTGGGCTCTTCCCTAGATCCTCTGGTCCCATAGCTCCCAAAACCATCTCTTGGCAGACAATCATCATATCTGCAGGTCTAGTCCTGATGGTCCATCCAGCCTTGCATAAACACTCTTTTCTTTAACTCACACTTCTGTTGGCTTCCCTTATTCACACCTTCTACCGACCAAATGTTATGCAAATATATCCTTTTATTCTCATTCTCTACTGCAACCAATCTGGTTTAACTAAGATCATATCTACACTGGACAACAGTGACAGCTTTGGACTGCTCCCCATCTGTGTTATCTGAGTTCCCTCCAGTTACCCTCCACACTGGGGCCAGAGTGCTCATGCTACTCTTGGGACTGAGTCCCAAATCTTTTTTCCTTTTGTACCAGTACTGGTGCTTGAATTCAGGGCCTTTCACTTTCACTTAGCTTTTTCATTCAAGGCAAGCCACACCTCCATTCCTGGCTTCTTGCTGGTTGATTGGAGATGAGTCTCAGGGACTTTCCTTTCTGTGCTGGCTTTGAACCTTGATCCTCGGATCTCAGCAATCTGAGTAGGTAGCATCACAGGCTTGATCCACCAGTGCTCAGCTAATTTTTTTACTTTTGCAAAGCATGCTGGGAAGACAATTTTATTCTTCTAGTTTTTTGCCTTTTTTTTTTTTTTTTTTGCCAGTCCTGGGGCTTGAACTCAGGGTCTGGGCACTGTCTCTGAGCTTCATTTGCTCAAGGCTAGTACTCTACACTTGAGCCACAGTGCCACTTCAGGCTTTTTCTTTTATGTGGTACTGAGAAATCAAACCCAGGATTTCATGCATGCTAGGCAAACACTCTACCACTAAGCTACATTCCTGGTCCCTTCGTGTTCTTTCAGGTAGCTACCTTGCCCACACAGATGTGCACCCTGAACACTAGTTTAGCCTTGGCCATTTAAAAAACTTTCATACACTATTTAAGTTCTTGCCATCTACATACTTCCTGCCATTTTTCTGTGGAAGAACCCAGTCTACTGGACTTATCAAGATTCCCAGACTGGATTTTGCTGACTGCAGATTCATGGTGCAGTTTAATGTGTCCTCCATCTGTGTATTGCCTCCAATACACCTTGGTTGGGTAGTACCAGGGATTGGACTGGGCTTGCGTTTGGCCTTTTGGGAAGTTTAAAGGGAATACAATCTTGTTTGTGTCTATTTATGGTGTTACTGGAATTACTGGGGGCTTCTCTTTTTTCAGGGTGCTCACTTACTACTGAACAGCCTCAAGGTAAAGATCATAGTTTGCCTTCACCATTTTGTGTGTGAGTGCAGGTCCTGGCTTGAACTCAGGCCTAGGTGCTGTCCTTGGGGGGTTTTTCTTGCTCAAGATTAGCTCTTTGCCACTTGAGCCATAGGTTCACTTCTGGCTTTTTTTTTTGTCGGTTGTGGGGCTTGAACTCTGGGCCTGAGTGCTGTCCCTCAGCTCTTCAGCTCAAGGCGAGCGCTCTACCACTTGAGCTACAGCGCCACTTCCGGTTTCCTGGTGGTTTATTGGAGATAGGAGTCTCACGGTCTTTCCTGCCCGGGTTGGCTTTGAACCTCGATCCTCAGACCTCAGCCTCCTGAGTAGCTAGGATTACAGGCGTGAGCCACCAGCGCCCGGCATTTCTGGCTTTTTTTATGCTTAATTGGACATAAGCATCTTGCAGACTTTCCTGCTCAGGCTGGCTTTGAACCATGATCCTCAAATCTCAATCTTCCAAGTAGCTAGGATTACAGGTGTGAGCCACCAGTGCCCCCAAGCCTCCCTCCCCATTCCTCGTCCCCCCCACCGCCCCAATTTCTTTTTAGTAACAGAATCTAATTTTCTTGTAGAAAACTGCCTTCCTTAAATTAGTGATTATCCACTAGGAACATAATGATTGAGTCAGAGGTCACATGATCCAAGCCAAGCCAACTAAAATTTACCTCAGGACTTTCCCTGAAGCTTTTGGAAAAGGGGCAATCCTTGTTGGAAAACAAACAATGGTGACCACCTTTGCATCTGGTCAAGGAAAGCTTATCGAGAATGAGCTAACACAGAGGAAAGCAAAGCCAAGCATTCTTTGGACACTTGAATCCTGCTATGCCTGAAAGCAATGTGTTAACTCCTGATTATGTGCATTCAAAACCTTCCTTTTTAAAAAGTCAACTGCAAAAAGGATACTTACGCTTTTTGCCACCATAACCTTATGAACATCCGCTATCCCCTGTTTAATTGTATCATCTCCAGCAGATTGTGCTCCTAGAAGCTTCTCTATGCCTGCCTTGTTTAGCAGCGTATCTAATACCTAGAATATCCTGGCACAGGTAGCTGCTCGCTTCAGACTTCAAGATCTACAAAGGTAACACACAAAGCTTCAACTCCTATCCACAAGGCACCTTTGTTCTCCTAGGTGTATAGGTCATAGTATTTTCTCTGGCCACCATTGGGTCTTGATAGGTCCACGACAGAAGGATCCTTCCACTAATACGTGAAAAAGAGACTCCTGACTTGTGACAGAGGATAATACTCTAAAAAATGTTTTGTTTTTTTTTGGAGGGGGAGGTCCGGTCGTGGGGCCTGAACTCTGGGCCTGGGCGCTGTCCCTCAGCTCTTCAGCTCAAGGCTAGCGCTCTACCACTTGAGCCACAGCGCCACTTCCGGCTTTTTTCTTTTTGCTTATGTGGTGCTGAGGAATTGAACCCAGGGCCTCATGCATGCAAGGCAAGTGCTCTACCACTGAGCCACCTTCCCAGCCCAGGTTAAAGTTTTGTTTGTAAAAAAAAAAAAAAGTTTTGTTTGTTTCTGTCTCAGGGGATTGAACCTAGGATCTTGACCATGCTAGGCATGCCATGTGGCTCAGCTACATCTCCAGGCAGAGAAAGCTGGTCCCCTTTATAGCCTCTGGATGCTGAACCTCAACTCTTGGCCTCAGCTGATTGAAACCTCCAGATGGGAACATTGAGGCTGCTGGGTTCAGGGAGGCTGAGACCATTAGCACAGCTGTCAGTTCTGGCTAGGTACCTTCAAGGCTGGGAAAACACTTTTCACAAGCAGGCCTGCCTTGACCTCCTTGTTCCTGTGTAATCATCTGGCTGCTGAGCAAAATGTCTTACCATATGAGCAGGAATAGAAAACGCTGTGCCTTTAAGGGCTCAGTCTCCAAGCTGGATGAAGGGGCAGGGAAAAAGGGGCTAGCAGGCAATTCTGTCTGGAGAAGCTACTCTGTTCCTCTAGTTGCAGGGTGATGAGGGCCTTGACACACTTCCGGAGCCTTTTCTCTTGCCAACCCCCACTGCTCTGGGAGGTGGGCTATTTGCTCTCTGGGACCAAGCAAATGGAAATCAAAGCCTGGAAGGAGATCCAGCAAAAGATGGAAGACATCGACATAAAATGACTGATCATTTGCACTTTTCCAACCAGAAAAGGGGAGCTGACTCCGAACTGAAAAGCAAGATGGAGTAAACTCTGCAATCATACAGAACTACTTCTCACTGCTGATTGCCTCAGGCAAGATATTTAATTTCCCTAAGCCTCAATTTCATAATTGGAAATGTTGCCTTGTAGGGATGCAGATAAGACTAAAGGAGAAAATGCTAGCGGGCCCTGATTCCAGGAACAGTTTAAGGAGCAGCCGGAGGTAAGGACTCTCAATGGTAACAGCCAGGCTATTTTTGTCATTGGGAGTTTTCACTTTTCACCAGCAGAGCTCAGGACACCAAGGGACATGGACCTGACACGAACCTGCTGCATGGGTGCAGTATCTGCAGTTCTGTGGCTTGGAAATGGGGCCATACCTTCCGTTCCAAGTGTTTATCCAAGCGGGCCAGAGCTTCTGTCTCTCCTCCTTGCCAGACAGCTGGGCCAAGTCCTTCCGTGGGGAACCCTGCAAGAGGAGTAGCAGGTCACAGAGCTAGAGGTCTCATCCTTGGAACTGAGAAGAACCTTCACTTCTAGGTCACCGTGGGTCTCTCCCTACCATTGCCAGTTTTTTCCTCTCTCTCGACTTCCCCACCCCCCCCCCCCCCACCATTCTAGGCCACTGTGAACCAGCCTGGTTCAGATTATCTGGCAGTGACTATGATTTTCAGGTGGGAAAAGCTACTGGGTTCAGATCAAAAGATGGGAGGAAGGGGCAGAGAGAAGTAAAGGAAGGGTGGAGTCATCCTGGTATTGAGAAGCCTGTGGATACACCAGTACCAGACAGACCCTCTATTGTCTAAAAGTGGGACGTACACAAATAAGAGTATGAGCTAGAGATTATAGAGATGTGAACTGCAAGACAGAAAGGTCAGATAGCAAAATTATAGCAACTGTCTTGGGGGATGAATGTTAGTGGTAACAGTGATATTAGTGCCACCTTTGCTGCTCTGGATTTCCTGGATTTTCTATGATAACAGACACCACTATGACAAAGAAGTAAGATGTTTTCCACACTGGAAGCTGTGGCTTGTGGGGGATGCACGCACCCAGCTCCTCCAGGGAGGGCACGCCATAGGTGTCATCGTGATTTTCCTGGATCTCAGCCCTGCAGCTCTCCATCTGCTGGCTGGTCACCGAGCCCACTGGCTTCTTGGGCAGCTCCATGCGGCTGATGATGGCCTGAAAGCGCTTGTAGGTGAGAGGAGGCTTCTGCCCATTCAGCTCAATGATCCTGGGGGTTCAAAACACACTGGGATCACTCATGCTTTGGGTCCCAACCCACCCAGAACAAAGCCTAGACTGTGAAGCTTTGACAGTGCCTTCCTCCTCTGCTTTCACAGGTCCTACCCCTGAAAGGAAAGGAAAGGAAAGGACAGGAAGGCTGTGTCTCCATTTTACCGAGAGGAAAAATGAAGCCCAAAGAGCTGGAGAAGGTGCCTCAGGTAATGGAGCAAGGCAGGGCCAAAGCCAGGACATCAGGTTCGCTGGTGTCCACGCACAGCCCGCCTAAAGACAGAGACCGACCATACCTCTGGCATCACAGAAATATCCCACTGGCCTTCTAGGTACCTGACCTATTTGACCCCACATGGGACCTTGGATTAACTTCTTTAAGAGCTGAAAATGTTCCTTTCTTAGAAGATCATCTTCCTGTTATCCCTTGTTTAGGAGAGAGAGGTAGTGGCCAGTTGATGGTCCTGAGTCACAGAATGGGGCTGGGGTCAATAGAACCACTAAGCCTCAGAAAGTTTTGCAGTATACAAAGTACTTTTCATGTACAGGGAATGTCACTGCACTCATACAAGAAGGAAAGTTTAAGGGTGAAGAAGAACCTAGTACTGGTGGCTCACTCCCATAATCCTAGGTACTTAGGAAGCTGAGATCTGAGAATTACGGCTAGAAGCCAGCTGGGGCAGGAAAGTTGGCAAGCCTCTTATCTCCAATTAACCACCAGAAAACCGGAAGTGGTGTGCTAGTCTGGAGGGAAAATGCTGAGGGACATGCCCAGGCCCTAAGTTCCAGCCCCATGACTGACTGCCCCCACCCCCACCCCCCAAGAAAAAGGTGAAGAAGAGAATGTAGCTATTTATATAATGATAAATTGGAATGGCTGCGGCCAGATTCCTGGGGCTCTTGTTGGCCAAGAAGCAGCGTATGCAAGGTCTGGCTGGCTGGGAAGTTCATTTCCTGGTTTGTTCTCTTTGCACTCCCTCTATTAGCAGAGACAGAGGCTGGCGGCTGCCTCTGCAGTCCTTCTCCTCCTCTAGCACGTGGCAGGAGGAAAAGCTCCACACCAAGCCTCTCCTCCTAGGGCCCAGGCTCACGTGCACAGCTGTGTGACCTGGTCTCTTGGCAGCCAGCCCTGGGTTGGGAGAACAGGGCAGGGAGGGGGGCAGTGATGGCTGCTGGCTTGGTAACAGCAGCAACAGTAGAAGAAAGGCAACAGCTCCAGTGGGAAAGGGGAGGAGAAGGTTCCTCCTGAACTCTGAAAGCACAGAGGGAAAGGGGCTCTCCTTTGAGTCAACAGCTCTCTGGCAGGGGAGCCCCCCCCTGATCAGCATCAGAATGTATAGCCTGGAAACCCAGATATCCAGGGAAGCCCCAGTTAGGAAACTGGGCCCAAGAGAACATAGGTCTACTGGAAGATGGGGTCCACTGATGTCAGACAGAAGGCGGGGACAGGAGGAGCTATCCTCAATTCAGAAGTCAGAGAAAACAGACCAGAGTGGCTACAGGTTGACAAGGAAAGTATTGCTTTCTAAATCTTCATTCATAGGGCACCAAGGTCAGGAGCAAGGCAGAAGGGAGCAGGAGGCACTATGGGGCAGCAGCAGGTCTATGAAGATCCTGAGAGGATCCTAACAAGCTTCTTTGTCATCCAAATCAGGCAAGGGCTTTGTGACTTGTTCTTCAAGCCCCAACTCTTGACCACATACCTCCAGCTTCTAGAAAATGCCAGAGTTCATGAGCCAAGCAGCCTTATCTGCTCGACAGGGGCCCAAGTCAACAATCTTACAATGGGCAACTTGAGCCTATGTCCTGCAGCTTACCTGTCCAGGTCATAGAGGGTATGGGAGTTCTCAGTCACCACTTCCACACCAGCCTCCTTGGCCATCTTCATGATGGCTGCATCCCGTTCTTTCCCAAAGGGTTCCGAGTCATATTCAAAGGTCAAGCGGGTCACCCCCCATTCCTGTGGGGACAGAATCTGTTACACTCATGTTTGGGGAGGAAGGGGGGATATAGCGTACAGTCCCTTCCTGAGAGTGAACACAATGGCTACAGAACAATTTAGGAACAATAACCAGAACTAGAGAGCGAACATCATAGTATGAGGAGGGCAGTCAGGGGGGAGGCCCTGTGTACTCACTACACCCCTGAGGTGGGAGAATACAGAGGGAAGCTATAAATACAACCCTCCCGGGGGAGCCCCAGGCCCAGAAAGAGCAGTGACTCATAGTGGATACAGCCGGAGACAGGATCACCACCTCCTGCCTGCTCTGCAAACCTCTCCCAGAGCTTCTCACAGCCTGCAAACTTGTGGCCTAGTTTTTCTGGCAGCTCAGTGCTATGTGAAGTGTCTTAATGGTTTCCACAGCAACACTCCTGAGGCCAGAAGCAAACAGAGCTAATAGGTCCCAGCTCTCAGAGCTGGGGGAGGAGTGCTCCTTAGTCCAGAGGCCGGAGAAAACAAAGCAACTGCAGGTAAAGAAGGGAAGTCTTTTCTAAGTCTTTAGTTACTTCTGGAATGAATTCCTCAGACTCCTAGCAACACCAGGAGAAAGCTGACCCAGTGAAAGGCTACAAGACAATCTACAGAAAGCCTTATAGTTTGTAACTGGAAGAAAAATATTCTAACCAGTCTGTGATTAGTCTTCCTTAAAGCTTGCAACCTAAAGGGCAAAGGCCCTGGCCATGCACAGGCTGGTCTGGTCCTGACTCAGCCCTCTTGGGTGGGAATGGGTACTTAGGAGACTGAAAATCCATAGTTCAAGCGTAAATGTTTACTGTTTATTATTATTATTATTATTTTTGTTGGTTGTGGGGCCTGAACTCTGGGCCTGGGTGCTGTCCCTCAGCTCTTCAGCTCAAGGTTAGTGCTCTACCATTTGAGCCACAGTGCCACTTCTGGCTTTTTCTGCATTATGTGGTGCTAAGGAATCGGACCCAGTGTCTCGTACATGCAAGGCAAGCACTCTACTACCACCCCAGCCTACTGTTTATTCTTTATAAGCCATGTTCTATGCTTAACAGTTCATACATGCTGCTCGTAAATATGCATATAACATGATGAATAATATAATAGGTATTAATAACACCCTATGCTTCAGAATGATCCTTCTATGCCTTGGTCCTGTATCTCCCTCACACTTATCCTATGGCAATGAAGCTGCCCTTCACCTGCCTACTACATAGTAGGACCTCCATTAAGTAAAAACCCTCCAGACTTGGGTTAGCTCTGAATTACTAGGAGAGATAGGAACAATGTGAAAGGATTAAAAAAAAAAAAGCAAAAATCACAAAAACAAAAAACTCCACTTTTTTGTGGCTGTGCTAGGGACCAAATCTAGAATTTCAAGCATGTTAGGCAAGCACTCTACCACTGAGCTACATCTACAGACTGGCAAATGCATTTGTATCATATGGTGGGTAAACACCCAGCTATGGGGTCAGCTTCCTGACCATGAATGTATTATTGTCCCCTCACCTATAAAAGTGGGAGAGATACCCATTCCATTGAGCTACTGAAAGGGGTGAGTTAATGTGTTTGGACAATGCTTGACTCATAGTTGGCCCTCAATGAACATTAGTAACTATAATATTGAATGATCTGTATGTACATGTAATTACATAGAGAGGGGAAAGTGAATGATGATATCTTTACAAGGCTATTTGCCTTCACGTCAGACTTTCCAGCCTGTCATGGAGCTGGAGCAAAGGGGGCATAAAAGCCATTGTGTGCTGCTGAGGATGGAGAATGCCCTAAAACCAACCCTCTGTGAATACTTCTGCCTCTACTTGGAACTTACAACATCTTTTCTTTTTTGTAAGTCATAGGGCTTGAACTCAGGACTGAGCAATGTAACTGAGTTCTTTCTAAAGCTAATGCTCTACTACTTTGAATCATACCTCCACTTCTGGTATTCTGGTGGTTAATTGGAGACAAGAGTCACAGGCTTTCTTGCCTTGGCTGGCTTCAAACCACAATACTCAGTTCAGCCTCCTGAGTAGTTAGGATTACAAGTGTGAGCCACCAGCACCCAGCTTACAACATGCTTTTTTTTTTCTTGCTTTCTTTTTTTTTTTTTTTTGGTCGGTTGTAGAACTTGAACTCTGGGCCTGTCCATGAGCTCTTCAGCTCAAGGCTAGCACTCTACCACTTGAGCCACATTGCCACTTCTGGTTTTCTGGTAGTTAATTGGAGATAAAAGTCTCACTGACTTTGAACTCTGATCCTCAGATCTCAGCCTCCCAAGTAGCTTAGGATTACAGTGTGAACCACCAGCGCCTGGCCTCCACATGCTTTTTAAAGAAGCCGGCCCCTGACTACTTCAAAAGCCCTTCGGAACACACCAAGCATCAATTTCACCAAGGCAAAACATGATGGGAATATGGTACAAATAAAACTTTTATTTATTTATTTTTTTTAAAAAAAGCTGGCCCCCAATATTATAAACAGACGCCTACCTGGCATCAAGTAAAGATTTTATCAGTCATTCCCTCAGACAGGCTGACTTTTTTCCCCAAATAAGCAGAGCAAAGTGAAGTGGGAAACGCCCCTTGATAAACAGGAAACTCCACCCTCAACGTCCTGGCTAGAAGGAGCCCTCATAAACTTTACTGGCTGGAGCCAAGCAAATATCTAAGGAGGGCTGAGGCAGTTAGCCTGGAATGACTTACCACATTGCCTGTCTGCACTGAGCCGGAGACTTTCCAACAAGACACTGGTTCACAAAAAATGTCTTTCCTTAACACAGTTTCCATTCTGTTGGCAAGCCGACTGGCTTGCTTTTGCCTCCCACTTCCTCAGTAGCCAGGAGCAGCCAGACCTGTGGCAACATTACCACTTCCTTGCTCACCATAGCATCTCCCTCAGCCTGAGGGCAAGCCTAGGGAGTGGGTCTCCGGTCTCCACTTTGCCCTGCAAACTCACCTTGAACAGCCTTGGGAACACATCAGCTGGCTGTCCCCGGACCACAAACAGGCGGGAGTTCAGTTTCCTTAGGCTTGTGTCCAGATCTTCCAGAGACTGCAGAAGGAACCTGCCGAGAGCACACAGGGTTTGTTAGTGATAAGGGAATAAAGAGGCACTGCTTCCTAGCAAAGCACGGACAAATGGCCCTGCTATTCATGGCAAACAAGTGGTGTGGTGAGCCTGGAGACTGGAGGCCTGGGTGCTGGCCCAGGAGGAATGGGTGTGGGCCAGCACTGCCTGGGTAGAAATCTTCCTCATTGTGTGACATCAGGCAGAGACTTAACCCCTAAAGGCTTGTTTTCTCATCTGTAATATGGAATAACATCAGAGCCCATGGAAGTGCTAAAATACCAGCACTCATACAATTGCTAAGGAAAGAAAAGCAGAGGTTTGGAAAAACAAAAACAAGACAAAAAACAAACAACCAAAGCACTCAGCACACAGCCTGGCACATAGAAGTCAGGAGTAAACATAAGCTATAGCCACAGTTGTGTTTCTAAGTGATCAGAGACAAGCCCGCATTTCCTCGAGCCTGGGGTGCTGTATGGAACTCCTGGGCTGGCACCAGGTAGTTGTGAGAACTAAAGGACGAAAGATGAGAACACCAGCTGTGGACCAGGCATGGAAGCAATCCTATCTCACAGCCACTGGTTTGTCTGCATTCATGGTTTGGGCTACACATCTGTTTAATGGGCCAGCCCCCCCACCCCCATCCCCCACCAGCCTCGGTACCATCCCCAGGCTTTTTTTTTTTTTTGTCTTTTTCTTTTTTGGTACTGGGGATCGAACCCAGGACGTTGCACTTGCTAGGCAAGCGCTTTGCCACTGAGCTACATCCCAGCCCCCAGCCCCAGGCTTTGATTGGAGATGGCTTCTTCTCCAGGTCTTCCCACTGCTGTGGCAGCCAGGTTCTAATCCAAACAGGGACAAGGGCCTTAGAAGATGCTTCTGGGTAGATGATACCTAGTGTACAGGTGGGGGAAGGAGAGACTACAGATACTCAAAGCCCCTTCAGGAAAGCTGGGTCACCAGGAGAAAGACATAGATAAAAAAGTCTTATTTTGAAATTAAATAAATATTTTATCCCGATAACTAGTTATGGGGTTCAACACTCCATTGACAAAAAGGTGCACAGGAAAGTGTTCTCTCTTCTTTCCTTCTCAGAGGCAAACGAGGTTATCAATTTCACTATGCATCTGTCATGCTTGTGTGTGTGTGTGTGTGTGTGTGTGTGTGCGCGTGCGCACGCACACACACACACGCGCACCCGCACGCCAGCCCAGGGGCTTTAATTTAGGGCTTGAATGCTGTCCCTATGCCTTTTTGCTACTTTCAGTTTTTCTGGTGGTCAATAGGAAGAGTGCCATGGACTTTCCTCAGATCTCAGCTTTCTGAGTAGCTAGTCTCACAGGAACTGAGCCACCAGTGCCCAGCTCTGTTAGGCTTTTTAAGTGCATTTCCTCATTTAATTATCTCAATACATTTTGAAAGAAGGCATACTATCCCCGTATCTTTATAGATGAGGAAACTGAGAAAGAAAAAAGCAATTTACTTAAACGAGACAGAGCTGGCATAAGAACTTTTGTGAGTCAGACTTTGAAACCCGTATTTTTTTTCCCCTCTGTGTCCCATTTCTACAAACTTGAGTGGCATGTCAACACTGCTCCAGGGCTGAGACTGCAGCTCTGACAGACACAGCTCATAGGGGTGACCCACTGCGTTTTCATTTTCCTCAGGATTCAAGCCTGTGCCTGCCACGATCTCCTCAAAGAGCCTGCTCCCCACCCCATGGCCTCTCCTCCTCATTCCCAGCACTTTCCTACTATCCAAAGTAGGAGGCACTACATTTTATTTTGGGCACAATGAGGTCCTCTGCCTCCTCTGCAGGCATGCTGCATTCCCTGACTACAGGAAGCAAGCAGCGTGTGTTCCCAAGCTGCCACCAGTGCCAACCCCCACGGCTGCCTCTGACGTACACAATGTGACACCATGTGGCAGGCCCACATTCCAACAGCAGCCCAGCCCTGGGCCCAGCCTAGAACACTGTATTGGGTAAAGAAAATGCAGGGGGCTTGTGAAGGGCGGGGGTAGGAGATTGACAGGTTGAAAGGTGCTGTAAGCAAACCAGAAGCGCTGCCGCTGTGAATTTCTGTTTTTGAAAAAACATAGGTCCCATGGTTTCCCTTATTTGCAATAACCAGTATATGTCTGAGACAAGCAGAAACGGTCAGATAAGTTGGTGTTAGGTGAAATGAATCCCAAGATAAGGATTCAAATGTTTTTTCTTTCTTACGATTGTTTCTAACGTATTTATGAGATGATTTCTTTGTTGCTTTGTATGTCCCTCCCCGACGGTATAACCCCTGCTTTCACTGTATTTGATGTTGGTATAATTTGTGGAAGGGAAGGGCAAAAACAAATTGTTTAAATTGGGATGCCGGTAGACCCATTGCAACAAAGAGATGTACAAGTCGTTATGTTGAAAAACGAACTTTACAACTTTGGCAGGGGTGGGGGAGCTGGGAAGGGATGGGAAAGAGGGAAACAAAGGAGGAGGCAACAATGCTTGATAAGAAATGTGCTCATTATCTTGCCCATGTAATTGTAATCCCTCTGTACAGTATTTTCACAATTTAAAAAAAAAAGCAGACATGCTCTGAATACTGCACGATCTGCACATGCCACACTTGTACCGGCCTCCCCTAGGCCTCAATGTTCTTAAAATTCCCCAACACTAGGACAGAGGGCCCTCAATCAGTCTCCCAGAAATGTCCCCTTTATTTTGTGGGGAGGTCCTCTTCTCTCTCAGTCCACCAGGCTGCATAGGATTTCCATCTCTAGCCATAACTAAGGCTGAAATGAAATCTAGGTTCCAGAACCTTGCAATCTGCCTTCTATAGAACTCTATTTTTAGGCCTCATTTGCTAAAAGGAGAATTTCCTATAGGTTTTAAAAGTACAGATCTGAGAGGTTTTTCTTTTGACTAGAGACTTTTAGGCTGAGGCAGCAACAAACAATGCTAATGGTGATAATGGCAATAAATCACATTTAAGATTTATTCAGAGAACCCAGACACTCATCTACTTGTTTTACAAACATTACATCATTTCATTTCATTTCTCTTTTCTTTTCTTTTTCTTTTTTGTGCCAGTCCTAGGGTCTCATGGACTTTCCTGCCCAGGCTGGCTTTAAACTGAGATCCTCAGATCTCAGCCTCCTAAGTAGCTAGGATTACATGTGTGAGCCACGGGTGCCCAGCACCTCATTTCTTCTGGAAGAAGCCTGTTAACTAGGTGTTATTATCTTTCCCATTCTACAGATGAAGAGATTAAGTAACCACTGGCATCACTTATCCAGCAAGTGGCCAGAATTCAAACCTAGGACATCGGTGTTTTAGTTCTTAGCTCCCAGGATCTGCTAATTTTGAGCAGTAAGTAGTGAAGTGGTGCTGCCATCCCAGGGCTCAGTTGTTAGGGAGTGGTGCCATGTGAGCCCAACTCAACCAATACCCTGCTGCCAGATCTTTGCTCCTTCAAGTGTGGTCTGAGGCTAAGCATGCTGCTGTGGGCTACGAACTCCCAGGAGCTGGCTGGAATGCAGAATCCCAGACCTCCACAAGGAGAATCTGAATTTTATAATGATTACCTGGACTGCTCTGGAAAATGGCCTTTTTGCTTTTGCTTAAAAGTTATCTTTTTTGTTTCCTCCAAATTTTTTTTGGTTGAGTACCCCTCACCCCACGCACCCCCATCCTGGTGTCTGCCTTTAATCTGGGCCCTGGGAAATGCTGTCTACCTTCCCTCCAAAGTGAAATGCTGCAGGGCTTTTCCAGGCAGCAGGTGCTCAGTATATCTTTCCAGACAGGTCTAAACCCTGCTAGCTATAGGCCGGAGCTCTGAGGAGGCCCCATGGACAATGCCAGCCTCCAGGCAGCCAGAGAAAGAGAGGCATCATTCTGGCATCATCTTTCAAGCCTGCCACTAACATTGCTGCATAACACCAAAAGACCTGAACAACGCTGCTACTGGGGCAGGTATAGGCATTCAACCCTCAAAGAGAAAGAACTCTGGGCCTTCCTCTGTCCTCCCTCAAAGCCTCCACCACACACAAGCCAGCTCCTCTGCACTCTAGTGCAGGGAACTCCAAAGGAAAACAGCCTGGGTATTGGTGGGAGGTGGTGGGGGGAGGAAGGCTGGCACCTCATCCTTGGCTGCTCCAAGCTGAGCTCACATGGCCAAAATTCAGGCCACAATGGTCCTGTGTGAACAGTTAAAGCTCACCCTTTGGATTAGACAACATGTGCAATGGAATTACATTATGTAAGGCCCATAGAGCCAGAGGCAGACAGAATTAGAGAAAAACCAAATTGGGATTTCTAAAATGCAGAAAGGGCTCTGTAACTCAGTGACTCCATAACGCTAGCCCTTTAGAATAAAAAAGCAGATCCTCTGATTACATTCTTAAACCTAGGGAATACCTTTTCAAGGGACAGCAGATTCTCTGTTGTGAAATGTCTCATTTGTTGATCATGGGAAGAGAAAGGATGATAGTGAATTGGGTGATCGTCCTTGACCCAGTTCCTCTGCTTCAAGCCAAGGTTATCTAACCATAATGGTGATACCACTGGCTGGCACAGAGTGGCAACATAGGATATCAATAGAAGTTAACTTCTAAGTAATTAAGAAAGCTTAAAGCCCCATGAAGAAGTGTAGCCTACATTCACAACGCATGGCACTGGGATTGCTTTCTAAGTCTCATTCAGATGAAAACACATTTTTTTTTTCTAATTTCATAGAGAAAGATGAAGGTTTTCATCCCTCTTGGGCAAATGGAACCATCCCTGGCTGTAGAACAGTAAAGTGCCTTTCTTGGGTATCAGAGTGAATAGCCGGGAAAATACAAATTTCCTAGCAGCAGACTCCATCCTCTGCCTTGCTTCTTGCTGAACAAGTTCCAAGGAAGCCTTATCCTCTTTCGGCAGTGTTTAGCTCCCAGCATTTGGGGGGAGACACACCCAGGAGTTCCCAGTTTGCCTCATTTACTAATTCTAAGAGAAATGAGCTGAAAGAGAACACATTTTGTTTTCACTAATTCCCTCTGTCCTGGAAGTTCCTGAAAGAGGTGCAACACAGAGCCAGGAACCAAATGATTCGACAAAGCATGAGGAGAACGGTTGCAAGCATCTGTCTAGCTTGACATAGGCAGAGAAAGGTAATTCGAAGCAGCAAGGGCTTCTTTTTGAGTACCCATTTTAAAATCCAGAAGCTGCTTGCATCTTTCCTTGCATCTTTCCTTCTCACTGCAGTTACCTCCTTCCAGATGTGGCAAGCTTGGGGAAGGAGTGCATGGGGGGAAAGGCATAGGGCTTAGCCAACTGATAACTGAAAAGACATTCTTGGGATTCATAGTTACAATTAGCCCACAAACGTCCCTCTATTACCAAGGAAGTAAAATGCTAGCCTTTGCCTGTGCCAATAAATGCCCACATGGAGGTTGCCTTCCTCCAGCCTCTTTTAGACCATGCCAACAATGTTATTTTATTTCAATTCCATCTGCAAAAATAATGAAAAACAACAAACAAAATCCCACCGCACCATAGTGAAGGATGCTTGGGAGGGTAATAGAAATGACAGATTTTGATTCCCCTTGCTTCTGGAAGATGTCCCCCCCTCTCCCCCACCACCTTCCTAGAGAAGTTTTCTGAGATAGCAACTCAGGCAGTCATTACCTGGTGGCACAATTAATAATTCCCCAGACCACTCCCAGGATGCAGAATAGTCACAGCAAATTATACATATTGTAGTTTCATAGTGCAGCTGGCTGGAACCCTCACTCTCCACCTACCTCCAGCCCTGTGCTCAAAACAGCAGGCAATTCTGCCCTCAATACACCTATGAGCTGGAGAAGAGAGGCTGGCGGGATGTCTGTGGCCAGGCCCAGGAACAGTTCCCATATTCGATCTGTTTTGTGTTATTTCACCTCTTTCTCCTGAATGCCAAAGCTAATGAGACGTCCTGCCAAGGCGTTGTAGCAACACACTTCCCAGGTTGCTCGGCTTGGCTTGGATCAACTTAGTAGTCTAGTGCTTCTCAAACTCAGTAGCAAGGAGCCCTTTCAAAACTCTACTGCCCAGATCAGAACAACTCAATCAGAAATGGAGGTGGGGCCTATGTGTCTTTGAAAGATCCTTAGATGATTCTATGGGCAGGAAGGTGGAGAAACCCTCCATTTTATTTTCTTCTGCTGTATTATGGTTGTTTACATTGTTCTTTCTTCACTAAAATGCAGGTTCTAGATCTAGAGCAAAGACACATAACTGCCTCATCACTACTGTACCTACAGTAGTGTCTGGCACATACTAGGCCCTCACTAAATAATCACCCTTCTACTATTTGCTTTCTGACACAGCCTTTGACATCAGGACTTAATCCAGGCATCTGAGCTGCCACCATTCATTTTTTCCTCTTTGCTCTTCAAAGCACAACTATAAAAAGGTGACCCACAAAAATCCATAAACACCTAAATCCTAGTAAATTGCAATTTAATCAGCAAACATTTTTTGTTGTTGAGTCGGACTCTCCTCTATCACAAAGGTATAGGCAATCCTATGCAATGCTTCCCCAAACCCAGTAAAAGCAGCACCTTCATGACAAAGCAGTCAGCGGAGCCACATTCTATTGACTCTGTTCACACTGGCACCCTGCCACCAAGAGGGGACAAAGTCTGAGGCCTGGTTTAATGTCCACACTGGAGATGGTCATTTGAGCCTGTTTGTCAACACCAACCTCCTATCTATAGAAACTGGAGCAAGAGAGCCATAGAACCGCCTGAAAACCATGTGGACAGGCTCTGTCTAGGGCTATCTTTAGTTATTCCCTCTACAGAAAGGGGGCAGGACGAGGCACTTAATAGACCTGCTGCTAGGAGCACTCACTTTCCTGGCAGGGCACACACTGTGGAGAAGAATGGTATGTTGAGAGCCACTGTATCCTGGGAATCAGCCTGTCCATCTGTGCAGCAAGGCTGAGAGCAAACAGCCCTCAGAACAATGCAAACAAACCAGACATTACTTGCTGAGCCTTTTAGAGTGATGGGTACATGATGTATCCAGACTCCTCGATTCTGAATATTGGTTACAAAGAGAACACACCAACAACCTCAGACTCCTTGCTTCTGAATACTGGTTACAGAAAGAACACACCAACAACCTATCTGTTTCATCTTTCCTATGAACTGCTTCCTGGGAGTAGTGAATTCCTGCTCCTTACCCTGAGCACATAGTTCATGAAACCCTAACCTACAATAGGCCATTTTATAGTACAGGCCGTACTATAAAAATAGTCTAATGAAACCATATAACTTGTGGGTAGAGACAGCAGGGAAAAACTGAGGGAGAGCAAAAGAAGGGGGTGACATTGTCCAAAAAGAAATGTATTCACTAGCTAACTTATGAAATGCTAACCCCTCTGTACAACACCTTTATAATAACTATTTAAAAAATCATCTCATGAGAATAGGGAGAACAGGGGGGAAGGAGGGACATTTTGGTTCCCTCTTAAACATTTTCTATGGGGGGGAGGATGTGGGACGAGGTGACACTGACAGGATGCATTGTATTAATAGTCTGATCCCTGGTACAATCACTTAAAATAATAAAAGTTTTCTAGTAAGGTCCAAGCTGCTGAAGATTGTTTACAATGGGTTATGGATTGTTCTGGAATTCAAGTACTGCAACCTAAAGATGCTCTAGGAGGAGAATGGAGGGAATTACCTAATACTAAAGCAGGCCCTTCCAGAAGCAGGTTTGGGAGGGGAGGGAAGCCAGGATGAGGGAAAAGGTGGATCTAAACAAACCAGAGGCTCAGGGGTGACCTTCACGGGGCTAGCCATGGGCTTGTGATCGGAAGCCACCCCTGCCCTCACACGGTATTTTCTCTTGGCCCTCCCAGAGCACATCCCTGAAGAGCCCACGACCAAGGGAGTCCCCATTCAGTTCCGTCCCTGGCGGGCTGCCAGTCCTAGGTAGGGCTCGTCGGCCTCACGCCTGCAAGGCTTGGGAGGTCAGAACGACGGATCGTGACGTCGGTACACGGGGATCTCCGACGCCGGGTGCGTGGAGGGGGCCAGAAAACGCGGGGCGAGGTGGGGCCTGGCCCACCGCGGGCGGGCGCCAGGAAGGTGACTAGCCATCTCCTGGCCCCTGCCCCGCCCCTTCGGGACGGAGAGGACGGGGGGTGTCAACCGTCCCATCTCCCCCACCCCACCCAGGCCTCCGACCTCCCCCCACCCCACCCAGGCCTCCGACCTCACGCGTCTCCTCACCTCCACCGGTTGATCCCCACGGATGAGGAGGCCGCGAACCACGGGTCGAGGATATAAACGCAGCGCACGCAGCGAGCCCCGCGCACGGCCGCCAGCAGCGCCGGGTTGTCGTGGAGCCGCAAGCCTTTGCGGAACCAGTGCACAGACGACGCGCCATCCGCTCCGCTCGGTGGCGCCGGGACCGCCACTGCCGCGGTCACCATAGCGGCCGCCATCGCCGTCCAGAATGCGCCCGGACGCCGCCGCTCCGCCTTCGTTGGCACCTCGAACCACGCCCACAACCCGCCCAGTGACCTATGACGCCTCCGCTCCTCCATATACCCCCGCCTCCAGGGTATCGTAGGACCTCTCTTATTGGCTGTGGGCCTCAAGCTCGGTGATTGGCCCAGCGGCGCTGGCGCCGGCTCCGCCCACTCACGTTCCCACCATGTGTCCCTCGGCCGGGTTTGGACGGGGCGGGTCGGCCAGTGACGCAGGCGGGCACTCCCGGGCGTGGGCCGAGGCTGGGGACTGCGGATCCCTTACACGCAGCCTGTTCAGGGCCTGGAGTCAGCTGGCCAAGGTTGCTGTGACTGCAGCTAGTGACTTAGAGAACGGACAGCCTGCCTTCTGTATCACCATGAGCCACAAGGTTGTCGCCAGCTACCCACTCGGCCGGCAGTTTACTGAGCACATTTTATAGGCCAGAGAACACGATGGTTTCTTAAACTGTCTTGTGAACGAACGTGATTTCATTCAACAAGCCCCAACGAGATTGCTACTTGACAGTTTTGCTCCTCGAATCACAAAACAACTAGGAGGATTCCACCTAGAGTCTTCTGATTCCAAAGCTTCTGCTTTTCAGCTGGGAGCTTGTGGCTCACACCTGTTATCCTAGCTAATCAGGAGACTGAAATCTGAGGATCATGGTTCAAAGTCAGCCTGGGCAGGAGAAAGTCGATGAGACTCGTCTGCAATTAACCAGCAAAAACCCAAAAGTGGCGCTGTGGCTCAAGTGGCAGAGCTCTAGTCTTAAGTGGAAAAGCTATGCAAGAGTACAAGGCCCCAAGTTTAACCCTCAGTATCAACATATACACACAGACACAAACACATACACTTGCTTGCATTTGCTGGGCACAGGTGACTCACATCTATAATCCTAGCTACTCAGGAGGCTGAGATCTGAGAATTGTTGTTCAAGGTCATCCAGACAGGAAAGTCCATGAGACCCTTATCTCCAATGAGCTACCAAAAAGAAATGGAAATATGGCTCAAAGTAGTAAGCTGCTAACTTCAAGTACAAAAGCAGTTACAGACCCTGAGTTCAAATCCCAGGACTGCCATACACACAAACAAAGCTTGCATTTGCTTTTAACCCTCTCTGTGCATTAAGATCCTTAGCATATGCAAGTGGCAGTGTTTAAGGAAGACAAGAGTGTCCTTATTTACTAGTGCATCAGAAGATATGCAAGCTGGTATGAAATATGGAGGTATAGGGATTGGTAATTATAAGGGTGAATTTGCTTTCCATCTGTGTTAGCAACTTAATGGCATTTTGTGCAAAAGCCCTGGACTGAATTCCACGTGGATTGCAGAGACAAAGGGGGGGCACTGTATCCTATGCTTTCCTGAGGGAAACCCTCCCATTCTTCTGGAGTCTATTGACTGAATGTCCTTTCCAGCAGCAAAGTGTTGAGGATGGGCAGCAGCGTTGGCCTTACTGAGTGGAAGACAATCTCTTTCAACTGGTCCAATGGTGATCGTATTTACAACTCTTCCAGGACTTGGGAATGAGCAATGAAGGGATTTATAGTCAGTAAGTTAGAGGCATTAATTGACACCACTCTAAATCAAGTGTCATTGGCAAACCTAGGCACTTCCTCTCCCTTCCTGGGTTGTGTACAAGCTGTTCCCTTAGCATGGATCACATGACCTGCCCCATTCCCTTCCTAATTTCATGTTACTCTGTGTCATTGCTTAGTATTGATGTCAGCTTCTTACCATCTGGGCCTATCTCAGTCTGCGCTCCTCTTAATCCCTAATGCATCATTGTTCATCTGCCCCATTAGATTATTAATTTGATATTAGGTAATCCCCTCAGTCCCCCTCTCTCAGCACTGGGGCCATGGCTTATTTATACTTGTATTTTCATGGTTCATTTCATGGTCCATAACACTGGAGGATTATTTGAATGAAAGGGACCAGAGTCTCTGATTGGCAGAGATTCTAAGTCCCTACACTCAGTCCCTACACCTGACTTGAAGCTTATTTATGAATAAGATGCTGAATGAATCAATGCCACCTTATTTTCTGTTGAAGCACTATAATTTCTCTTCTTCTCTCTCTTTTTGCTGTGCAAGATAGATACCTGCTAAGAAGCAAGTATGCTTTATCCTTGGGAAAGTGAGTTAACCTCTCTGTCCTTCACTTTTTTTTTTGCCAGTCCTGGGGCTTGAACTCAGGACCTGAGTGTTGTCCCTGAGCCTCTTTGTGCTGAAGGCGCAATAGCGCTCCACCACTTGAATGACAGCTTTTTCTGAGTAGTTTTTTGGAGATAAGAATCTCATGGACTTTTCTGCCCAGTCTGGCTTCGAACTGTAGTCTTAGAGCTCAGTCTCCTGAGTAGCTAGGATTACACAGCAGCACCCAGCGTCTTCACTTTCTTAATAGATACAGTAGGGATGATAAGAGTACCTTAAAAATTGTAAGTGCTTATACTATGTAAGTGTCTGTTATTCTGAACAGTAGGATTTGATGTCAGAGTTTGCACTGTTGCATGTAATGCTTAAGACTTAATCTTACATGTAATTTGTGGTATCATGAGTGATTAAAAGGCTTTACTCATTTTTTTTTGTCGGTAGTTGGGCTTGAACTCTGGGCTTGGGCGCTGTCCCTGTGCTCTACAGCTCAAGGCAGGCACTCTACCGCTTGAGCCACAGTGCCACTTCCGATTTTCTAATGGTTTATTGGAGATCAGTCTCATGGAGCTGGGTGCTGGTGGCTCATGCCTGTAATCCTAGCTACTCAGGAGGCTGAGATCTGAGGATCATGGTTCAAAGCCAGCTCAGGCAGGAAAGTCTGTGAGATTCTGATCTCCAATAAACCACCAGAAAACCAGAAATGGTGCTGTGACTCAAGTGGTAGAGCTGAGGCCCAGAGTTCAAGCCCCATGACTGACAAAAAAAAAAAAAAAGAGTCTCATGGACTTTCCTGCCCAGGCTGGCTTTGAACCAAGATCCTCAGATCTCAGCCTCCTGAGTGGCTGGGATTACAGGTGTGAGCCACAGGCACCTGACTTTACTCATTTTTCATGTCCTCAAAATTACACCAATCATAAAGAACCAAGATAAGTAGTCAGTCTCCCCAAATCTCACCAGTCAGTTGTTTCCTGTCCTCAAGTTGCCTTCTGGACTGGGTCCATCTGCATCTAAATGAACAGCTTTCATCAAAGCTGAGGTCCCAGGCCATTCCTTTCTCAAGCCTCCTTATGCTGAGCACATTTCAATTGCTGTGTATTGTCTTTGTTCTGCCTGCTTTGAGTTTTATCACTAAACTGATAAAGATGAATTCATTCATTGAATGCCTATTGCTTAGGCATATTAACAGAGTAACATGTAGGGAGCAGGAAATGAATCTAGCACCAGATAGAATACTGCTGTGCAAAGTCCACTTTTGGGTTTTACCCTTTAAAAGGGTAAAAAAATTGGAAGTCAAATATTGATTGTTAAAGAGTTAAAACAATCAGGTACTATAGTCTTATCTCCCTACCTCCTTCCTTTCCCCTCCCTTCTCCCATTTCCTTTCACAAAGTCTCACTGTGTAGCCCAAGCTGGCCAGGAATGTGATCCTCCTGTCTTACTTAGTCCTCAGGGTGCTGGGATTACAGGTATGAACCAGGGTGCTCAGCTTTTGCTTGTGCTATTTCTCTTTAGGAAATTCAGAACTGATGACTTCATCCCTGTTTATCTCCATATTTACAAGCACCTCTGAAAAGAGGTTGTCATGAGGAGTTCTACTACAGTAGAAGGAAAAAAAATTCCCACTAGAGAGTGAAAGGCTCAAGAAAGGATTATGGATGAGACAAATTAGCCAGGAAGTGGGTGCTGACTCTCTTCTCTAAAGAAAACAGCTAAGTCCCATTTTGTCTTTATGTTGTTGTTATAAAAGTCCTGTAGGGAGACTGGATCAACTTTTCTGCACTGGCTTTGACTTGTGCTTTGTAAGTATTTGATGAGTGATGGAAGGCTAGTACAACGCAGAGAGAGGTCCTCCCCCAGCCAGGATAAGCTACTCATGCCCTCTAGTGGTGAGACAGGGAAGGGGTAGCTCCAGTCCCGGGTGCAGTCCTTGTGGAGGGCCCGGGTCTGCTTCCAAGGCTACACCCAAAGCCTGCTATGGACAAGCATGTTTTTCTTTTGAACTATTCAGACTGAGAAGCTATAAAGCTTTTTGAAAGCATAGGCTGTATAATTCTCTGAGTTCCCTTTCTAGCTCTGCCAGGATCCATTAAATTAAATACTTCCTTAAAATACAGAAGCTCTCTCTAACTTCTGTGGTCCTCTGTTTGCTCATTTGTAAAATGGGAGTGAGAATGAGAAGTACAGATGCAGATGGAATTGGAATAAGATCGACTTCAGAATCATGAAACAGACCTGCAAAAATCTGAGCATCTCACACATGACAAATATGCCTTTGTAGAGAGGAGGGGAAAGGTGGTTTTTCCTGTCATGACAATGGATCTGTCAGATTTCCTATTGTAAAAATATAAGATTTGGCTCCATTTGCCAAGTACACACAAGTCAATTCCAGGTATATCATTTGCTTACTGTGAAAGGTAAATAACAGGTGAATTTCTTCATCACCTTAGGTGCAAGATTTCTTGCCCCAAACATGAAAAGGTATTCACAAAGGAAAATACTGATAAATTGCATTAGAATTAAGAATATTTTCTATAAAAATCATTAACAAGGTGAAAAATAAACTTCAGGCTGGTAGAAAATACTTGTAACACTAATTTCTTTTTTCTTTTCTTTCCTGAGACTGAGGTTTGAACTTGGGACCTTGTACTCACTGGGTTTAGTTGTTCATAGCTAGTGTTCTATCTACCATTTGAGTCATGTCTCTAGTTCTGGCTTTCTGCTGATTTTTTGAGATGGGAATTTCAAGGACTTTTCTGCTGGAGCTGAGTTTGAACCAAGAGCCTTAGATCTCAGCCTCCTGAATAGCTAGGATTATAGATGTGAGCCTGACTGGTACAACCACTTAAGAAAATTGACATATGCACCAAATTTGAGAACCTAGTGCCTTATGAATAGTGAACCTTGTACCCTACACCCAACCAAATTTACTCCTAGCACATACTAATAGGCAGACATAGTTAGAAAGTTTAAAAGGTTGGTAGATTAATTAGAGCAGAGAGCCCCAGGAGAACTTCTTGTTGTGGAATGCATTGATGCATTGATGCAGCTTGGTGAGCTGAGATCAGAAAGCAGAAAATGCACGATTGTTTCAAAAACTCAGTCCCAGAAAATAGAATATCCCTCCCCTAGTATTCCTAGGTCTGCACAATCTTAGCTAGGAGTAGAGGAGGGAATATAAGCAATGGACCTGACTCACAGCAAGTCAGCAGGTTTTATCTGATTGGTCAGTTGTCCTATGCCTCATCTGCTTAGGGACAACCAATCAGAGTATATCCTAGGGTATTAAACACCCCTAGACTCAGAGAGAGAGGAGACCATTAGCAGAGAGGACACAGGAAGGACAGGGAGGGGGCAGCACCAGCCTTTCATTGACAGACTTCTGAATAAAATGTTTTGCATTTATCCCCTGTTGTCTGTGAACTTTGTTCATTGAATAGTAAAAGAAATCTGTACCAATACCTAACAGAACAGCAGAAGAAATCTATGCTCATGTGCACCAAAAGAGGAGCAGGAATGATCACAGGAGTATTAGTGAGATTTTTAAATCAGAAGCAACTCAAATGTCCATTCAAGTAGACTAGATAAACAAATTATGGTGTAACTAAGCAAAGGACTACTAGACAGTAGTAAAAATGAATAACCTAGGTCTGGGAAGGTGGCTCAGTGGTAGAGTGCTTGCCTCGCATGCATGAGGCCCTGGCTTCAATTCCTCAGCACCACATAAGCAGAAAAAGTCAGAAATGGCACCGTGACTCAAGTGGTAGGGCATCAGCCTTGAACTGAAGAGCTGAGGGACAGTGTCCAGGCCCAGAGTTCAGGCCCCATGGCTGACAAAAAAAAAAAAAAAAGAACAACCTATAGGTATGCATGGTGAGTCTAATGAAAGAGGCCACACACACACACACACACACACAACTTATAAATGCATACGTCCACAATGTAAAGTTTATAAACACAACATTAATGTGCAGTGTTCAGAACTAAAAAAGAAGAACCAACTCAAGCGCCTGTCAAATCCTGTAAACGTACCATATAATTGACCAATTTAGTGCATACGTCTCAGAGGCATTAAGGGTGTTCAGTGTTGTGTGACCCTGGCCATTCTCCATTCCCAGAATGTTTTCATCACCCTACAGGGTAAAGCCCTGTTCCTCCCTAGCCAAGCCCTGAAGCCAAGCCTTTGTCTCTATGAGTTTGCCAGGTCTAGGACACCCATCCAAATGGAATCATAAAATATTTGTCCTTTTGGGTCTGGTTCCTCCACTAAGCATGTAGCATGTGTCGGCACTTCTTTCTTTCCGGGGCTGCGTAATTAAAGTCACGCATGGATCTCCTGTAGTACAATGGCAGTCTCTGAGGTTATAAAGTCCCTGACACCTGCTGTGTCACAGCCCTTGTACCTAGGAAGCACGTGGCATATGGTAATGCTGGTGAAATCCAATGTGCTGCACTGTCAGGGGTGGAAACCACAACACATGCGGTCATGCACAGCACAGAGCGCGTGAGAACATGCCTACTACCCTCTCCCTTTTATCATTTGGTACCATTTTCTTCTTTTTTTTTTGTCGGTCGTGGGGCTTGAACTCTGGGCCTGGGTGCTGTCCCTCAGCTCTTTAGCTCAAGGCGAGCACTCTACCACTTGAGCTACAGTGCCACTTCCTTTTATCATTTGGGAGTGTACTTCTTCCAAAATAATTTTAAAAAGAGGCTTACTCTCAGTCTCCCCACAACAGCTTCCCCTTCTGTGTTTATCAGTGGCTTTGATGGCATGGGTGCTGGTGGCTCAGGCCTGTAATCTTAGCTCCTGGTGTGTGGGGGGAGTGGGGGGGGAGCTAGGATCTCAGTTCAGTCTGTGAGACTCTTCTCTCCAACTAACCACCAAAAAAACAGAAGTTGATCTGTGGCTCAAGTGGTAGAATGCCAACCTTGAGTAGAAAAGCTAAGGGGCAGTGCCCAGGCCCTGAGTTTAAGCACTAGAATCAGCACACATGTGAACATGTGCACGTGTGCGCACATGCACGTGCACACACATACACACACACACTCAAGATGAGTCAAGGTATTACTGTCCTATGCTGTCTAACTTTGGGTAAGTGCTTGATGATGAAGTGATCCTCTGCTGCCCCTCCTTCTCCCCCCTCCCAGCTCTTCCTCCCTTCCTCCCTCCAGCTTGCAAATTGATTGAGATATAATTAGGAAATAAACATTTCATAAAGTATATAGTGTGGTTTTGATTTATGAGTATGTTGTGAAATGACTACCACAGTAACCCAATTGTACACATCACCTCATCTAGTGACTTTTTTATTTGTGGTAGGAATTTTTAAGATCTACTCTCTTTGCAAATTACAAGCACACTATTATTAACTACAGTCCTCGTGCAATAGTCTTGCAAATTAAAGTCACTCCCTATCTAAGTCTAGATTTGGTTCTATTCGACAGTGTTTGGGCTGAGCTCTGAAGAGGCAGTAGGTATTGCAGGTAGAAGGAACAGTACATACAAAGGTCCTGGGGTGGAGCATTAAGGAACTAAAGTAAGGGTTAGAAATAAGCCTAAGGTCAGGCACCCTGTTTCCTGAAGTCTTTCTGTTCACCTGTCCTCAGGTGTTGGTGCGCCCTCATAGCAGCAAAATGGCTTCAGCAGATCCATTAACCCCATCAAACTCTCCTTTACAAGGGAAAAAAATCCAGGCTACTTCCTCTCGTCACTCATTGGCTTGAATTAAATACTTGTCTTTGCTTAGGATTACTGAAAGGATTTAGACCAATCACAAGCCATCCTGGGGGGTGGGGTGCAGATAAATATAGTCAAAGTACATTTTCTGCAGGTATAGAAATGTCATGATGAAATTCTTTGTCATGGGCTTGAATGCTGGGCCTGGGTGCTGTCCCTGAGCTCTTCAGCTCAAGGCTAGTGCTCTACCACTTCTGGTTTTCTGGTGGTTCATTGGAGTCTCACAGACTTTCCTGCCCAGGCTAGCTTTGAACCATGATACTCAGATCTCAGCCTCCTGAGTAGCTAGGATTATAGGCGTGAGCCACTGGTGCCTGGCTGAATGGCAGTTTTTTAAACAGAGTCCAGAAGAAAATCACAACTTTGCAAGCATCATTTTCTTTTCCACTAAGCTCCACTTTGGGAGAACACCCCAGTGAGCAAGAGCTGCTGAGCTGTAGCCCTGCCATACCCTTCACTAGGAACCTGAGGGTGGGGTGCTCTGGCTGGAGGCTGGTGAACTCCTGCTACAATGGCCATTGGACTCTGGTTTCCTGAATCTTCTCTGATCTTGAAATTCCACCAGACAACCCAGTTGCCCTTAAATAACAGCATCCCATATATTTAGACTAACGTGCTAGTTATCGTCTGCTGTATAACAAATCACCCCCAAACACTAGGGGCTTAAAACAAGGATTCATGGTTTTTCTGGCTGTCGCAGGCTGGCTGGCGTGTTGGTCCTGTTTGCCCAGTAGGTGGTGGTTGGCCTCATCTATGTGAGCTCCTCACTGGCTGTTCTTCCCCTGTCTTCTACTAGTCAGAACAAGGCACAGGTTTGGCCCTGACTCAGGGCTTTGCAAAAAGAAGTTCTAACCCAGCTCCTGGCAGACAGAAGGTCCTCCAAAGGAGGCTGTGGCCGGGGGTGGGTAATCAGGTGGAAGGCCGAGACCTCTCCCTAGATCTGATGAGCCTCTCTGAGCTGTGTTCTCATCTGTAAGATGGGGAAGGGGCCAGTGACAGCACTCAGCACTTGGTCTGAGTCAGCTAGTACTAGGATGCAGCTTGATTGACCCCTGCAGGCAGCTGGGAGCCTGGAAAGGATGGGACCAGCTTTCCCATGGGGGCCCGGGATTCCACATGTGTACACGCACGCACATACACACATGATGTCTTGCTCAGGCTTTTATTAAATCACATCCAGCTCAGCCATCTGGCCATACCGACTTCATTAGAACGCAGGGGCAGGAGAGGCACCACTTGCCCCAGGTTTTTATAATAAGAACCAAAACTTCAAAAATTACCCCCTACAAGATAGGAGGTGAGAATGGTGGACATGAGGGACAGGGGAGTGAAAGACACCCTGAGACCAAAAGGGAGTGATAGGGGGTGCCATGGTCTGGACGCTGTGGCCCCTTGAAATGCATGTTAGGAGATCTTGTCCACAGGAAGTGGAGCCTTTATGGGTGATTAGATGGGGGGGGTTGGGGGAGAGACCTCACAATTAGAATTAGTTTGTGCTTCCATCAAATGATACAGAGAGGGCCAGATGTCCTGAACTTGAACGTGCAGCCTCAGGAACTTGGAGAAATCAACTTGGGTTGTTTTTCAGCCACCCAGCGTGTGGGAGGGCTAAGCAGGGGACAGGCAGGTCCCCTGGGTGCAGCCTTAGGGGAGAAGGTATGTGATGATCCCTTTCTCAAGGGAGGCAGCTCAGGACCAGGGATGTGGGGGAGGGGGTCAATCAGTCCCCTAACCCCATAGCCCCACCTGAGGATGAAGGCTTTGGGGGAGAGAAGCGGGAGGGGTGAAAAGCAGCAACCAGGCCTGAGCCAGGAAGCTGTGCCAGGGACCAGGGGAGGGAGGCAAGTGTCACCTGTACCCCCTAAGGGACCAAGGAGCCAGGCAGGAAAATCTAGGCCCAAGGACTGGGAGATGCTCCACTGAGCACCCTACTTATCCTATAAAACACATGTGGTCCCCATGTGCTAAAGCTGCAGATATGGAGTGCAGAGGGCGAGACTTTTCTCTTAGCCTCCTTGGGCAGGGGAGACTGCGATCATGGCTATAAAGGCCCTGCCAGTCCCTTTCCTCCCTCAGCCTGCCCTCCAAGGGCTGCCTGCTTTTACAGGACCCTGGAGATATTGGGGTTTCCCAGGTCCCTTCCGCTGGCTGTGGTAGGGTTACCCCAACTCCCGAGTATCAAGAAGCCTGCCCCTGAAGGCTGCATCCTGTCCCTTTCCCTGGAGATGATGTGGAGGTAGGCCGGCCTAGGATGGGAAGGAGGGACGCTACTGCCCTGGGGTGGGCTGCCAGTGTTCTGACAGGACTGGGGGCCTCCTCTGGGGCCCCCAGACTCTGATCAGGTATCAGGTCTGTACACTGATCATGCCCTATCAACCTGGGCCCAAAGATTCCCGCCTGAGTTCATTCCCAGCGTCCCCGACCGAGCTCATACCCCCACGGTACTTTTCTCACCCTCTTTGGGGCTGGGGTCCTCTGGAGTCTTCTTCATCTCCCAGCCCCTGACCCAGGTGTAGGCAGAGGAGCCGCCCAGCACCATCAGATTGCTCGTCCACCACAAGAAGCTCTTGGTTTCCTCATAGTAAAGCACAGCCAGGACCGTCTGGGCACAGGCCTTGGCTGTGCCAGACACATTGTGGGTCAGGGGACTGGTGAACTTGATCTGCAGCCCTGTGACGTAGCCGATGGCGAAGCCAAACAAGCCACTCAGTGTCATCATGCCCCAGAAGTGGGCGCTGCCCAGCTGGGCAAAGTCTCGAAGGGCCTGGAACTCCCCGAGGAGCAGCAGCAGGGGCAGGAAGAGCACGCAGGCGTTGACGTTGTTGTAGAAGGTCAGGCGCCAGATGCTGCCATCCACAGCCGGGAGCACCTTCTTGGTGTAGATGGCATTGAGTGAGACGCAGAGGCTGGCTAGCACGCCAAAGATGGTGCCCGTCAGGGACAGGGTGCCCTCGGCTCCCTCCTGGTCCACGCCGAGCCAGAAGCCTCCTGTAGCAGGAGAGATGTGGGAGAGGGAGAAGGAGTGAGAGGATGTGAGGGGGAGGGACACATCGATTGTCATGCCGGTCCTGGGGCTTGAACTTAGGGCCCGGGTGCTGTCCTTGAGCTTCTTTGCTCAAGGCTGGCGCTCCACCACTTGAGCCACAACTCTACTCCTGGCTGTTTTTGGTGCTTAATTGGAGATAAGAGTCTCACAGACTTTCCTGCCAGGGCTGGCTTTGAACCATGATCTGCATAATCTCAGCCTCCTGAATAGCTAGGATGACAGGCGTGAGTCACTGGCCCAGGTGGAGAGGGACAAATTTTTGATACCAAAGTTCACAGGTTGTGTAGCAGCTCTCTCCATGTCATTCTCTTTAACCACATCCCAGGTCTCAGTGGCCCCTGGCTCCCTGCAAGACACAGGGGCTGGGGAAGCAGCCCCAAGTAGGACCTCTATCCTCTACCCCCAGCCTCTATTCTAATAGGGGAGGGGTGGGATGGGGCGGTAGGGACTGTTACCTTCTTTCATTACAACTGTAATCATTGTAATGAGGGCTGTAAAACAGACAGCTGTGCCTGCCTGGGGCCCTGGGCAGTAACTGTGTTCTACAGGGTGAGTGCTGCTGTACAGTGATGGTGACATTGGCTAACCTTGGCTTTCCCTCCCTAGATATCATCCTGGAGCATTCAATGAGAATGGCTCCTGGCCTGAAGTGGCCTGAGACCTGGGACAGTCTAAGACTCTGCTCTTGGGTTGCCTCCTGCTCAGCATCTCTGTGGTTCCCCATGGTACAATGGCAGGTCTCCACTCCCTGGGCTCCACACGCTGGTGTCCTGTGCCTGTGTCAGCCTTGTATCTCTCCTGTGATGGCTGCCTGTCCCCTCATATCTCAATCAGGCTCACTGTCTACACCAGAAAACTCTCCCCCTTTCCAGAATGTTCTACTGTCCCTTCAACACAGCCCTCCTCTCTATTCCTCTCCATTGCCACCACATACCATTGACATGGAGTGCAGGGGCTGCGGGCCCTTCCCCCTTTCTAGACCTGTAACCCCGAAGCCCGGCACAGAGGCCAGCAAGAGCTGAGCCACTTCTCTGTTTAACAAATGAACAGAGGTTGTGATGGAGGTGAGTGGAAGTATTAAAAGAGCTAAGACTCAGGCACAGTGGCACGCATCTGTAATCACAGCTGCTATGGGTGGCTGAATCAGGACGATCACTTGAACTCAGGATCTCTGAGCTGGCCTGGGCCCTATAGCAAGACCCTACCTCAGAATCAGGAGTCAAGACACTTGCTGCACTGTGGACACTGGACACACAAAGGGATCTGCCTCTGTCTCTGCCTTGGAAGACGCCTCCACTCCACAGGTACTCACAGACCTGCTGCGCGTAGGGTAGAGGGCTGCACTACACCCACACCTGCTTAAGCAGAGACCCCCTCCTACCCCAGCCACCTGCTGGTTAACCTCTGAATGCAGAACCTCAGGATCAAGACCTCAAGGTTCTAGATCCCAGAGGGAAGGCAGGTTCCTGCCTCCCCCCACCCCACACACACACAGGAGGAAGAACGTGCAGTGATGGGCCAGGTCTGGGGTCATGGAAACCCTGCCTCCTAGCCCTGCCCTGGCAGGCCACCATGGCTGGTGAAGGCACTGTCCCCTGATACTACCTCTCCATCAGCATCTTGGGTTACTCTGGGGACTTACTTCACATTTGCCTACAGGGAGGACACGTCACTGTTTTTCTGGCACAGCTGGTGGGACTGAAGTGGGATCCTGGGGTACTTGAGAGGGTCTCAGTTCCCCATGAGGAGAAGGTATAGGTGGTGCGGGGTTCTGCGGGGAGGAACTCCTTTCTCTCTCCACCCATCCTGGGCCTACACCAAGCAGCCCTAGATCCAACAACTGGTCAAGCAAGGAAAATATTTTCTAGGACAGATAGCGTGGATGGGCCCCCAACCTCCCCATAACCAGGACACTCAGCTTGGGACTGCAACACCAGACAAGAGTATATAGGCCAAGTCAGACAAACTGTGGTATGGGCCAAAACCTGAGGAGGTGCAGAAAAAGAGCCCATTTCTAGGAGGCTGCCCCAGGGAGCGAGGCCCAAACTCAGAGGCCCCCAACCCAGTGAGCAGACCAATAGGATGTGTGCAGTAGTGGAGGAGTTCAGTAACAGCCCATAGCCATATGTGGTTTCAGGCACCGAAAACGTGGTCAGAAGAACAATTTAGTTTAAATACACCTGTATCAGCCTAGCTCTAACAGCCAATGTACAAAAACGGCACAGAATGGTTAGACGCACAGGTCTGGGAGCCTGGCCCATCTGGGTTTGCATTCTAGCTTACCTACTTTCTAGCTGTGTGGCTCTGGCAACTAGTATAACCTCTCTAAGCCTCAGCTAGTTTGTAAGGAGATGATCATTAAATGCTACCACCCAGAGGATTTCTGGGTAAAGAAAGGAGATGCTAAGGTGGAATGATTAGCACAATGAGCTCCCTCCGCCCAATTCTTTTCTATCTTTTTTCTTTTTTTGCCAGTCCTGCAGCTTGAACTCAGGGCCTGGGCATTGTCCCTGAACTTCTTTTGCTAGCACTCTACCACTTGAGCCACAGTGGCACTTCTATTTTTTTCTGTATATGTGGTACTGAGGAATCAAACCCAGGGTTTCATGCTTGCTAGGCAAGCACTCTACCACTAAGCCACATTTCCAGCCCCCCAATTATTTTCTGATGATCAAGTCTGGGAAGAAGGTTAAGGCCTGTCAAAATATATGTGTTGAGGGTTGCCAGTGGCTCATGGCTATGATCCTAGCTACTCAGGAGACTGCAATATGGAGGATTGGGGTTTGAGGCCAGCTTGGGCAGAAAAGTTCACTAGATTCCATCTCCAAAATGAGCAGAAATCAGCAGGGCTGGGGTGTGGGTGACTCAAGTGCTAGAGTCTAGCAAGGGAGGCCCGGAGAGACCCTGAGTTCAGATCCCAGTACTGCCTCAAAATATAAACAAACATAAAAACCAATAGACCCCAAACAAAACCAAAAACGTGGGAGTTGTCCTCATCAAGGTCAGATGGTGATGGTATCTTTATTAAAAGATGCATTTGGCTCCACACAGCCAGACTGCATTCAGACTCCCATCTCTGCTAGTAATTAGATGTGTGATCCTGGACAAGTTATTTCACCTCTCTGTGCCTCGTCTTCCCTTCTGTAAATTCTGGCTATTCTAGCCATCGGATCCTGTTCTAGGGTTAGCTGAGTTACTATGGTGAAGTGCTCAGATCTGTGTGCCTGTGTTGCTCTTGCTGTTGCCATTGCTAACTATGTTTGCCCTGGCTGGGTCCCTAATTTGGTTGGGTGACCAGAACCAAGTTATTGGCCAGCTGTCTCTGGGCCCTAGGTGGCTGGGACAGGTGAAGTTTAGAGATTTCTTGGAAGAGTTGTCTTGCAGGGGTCATCCCCAGGAGGCCCCAGCAGGCCACTTACCAATGATGACCCCACAGGCCAGCAGGGCATAGAATGACGTGGCCTGCTTTAGAAGCAGGTAGGAGAGCAGCACGTTGAAGACAGTGGTGAGCGAGCGGCCCACGTTGTAGAAGGCCACGCCCACATGCTTGAGGCACAGGTTGTTGAAGGTGATCATGGCGATGAAGACCACCGAGAGGGGCAGGACGTTGCGGGCCACCCTGAGGTCCAGGTGCAGAGTCGGGAAGTCCAGCGTGCCGGGGCAGCAGGCGGCCAGCGTGCTGAGGCTCTTGCACAGCAACACGGTCACCAGGCACTGGTAGAAGGTGACGAAGATCGGGGTGTCCAGCCGCAGGGAGGGGCTGTCCAGCAAGTACTTGTTGAGGAACACCATGGAGATGGACGTGAGCCAGTAGAGGGTCACCACCAGAGCGATCTGCAGAGCCCTCAACAGGAAGGGCTTCTCCCCGCTGCCCTCCGCCTGGTCCCCGGGGTCGGAGGCCCCAGTCAGCGCCATGTGTAGGATCCGGGACCGCTTCAGGGGGGCCCTGTTCATGGCGGCAGAAGGGAAGGGTCACCAGAATGCAGTCTCGGGGCGCAGGACGGCCAGCTGCGTCTCTCTGCCAGCCTTGCCCCGGGTGTCACACGGGAGGGGGGCAGCCCAAGGGGGTCCCCTTCCTCTGGGATGGAGCTGAGGTTTGGGGTGCAGCCCTAGGGGGTCCCCCTTCCTCTGGGATGGGGGCGGTTACCAGGGAGGGATCGCAGGGGGAGAGGTGAGGGAGAGGAAAGGAGAGAGGGGGTGCAGGCTCAGGGTGGACGAGGGGGGTCGCCAGGCGCCGGAGGAGGGCGGGCTGCGCGGCGATGGAACGAGGGGGGCCCCGGGCCGCGGCCCCGGGCGGGCGCGGGCTCCGGCTGGGCCCGGGAACCTCCGGACGTCCGCGCCTCCGGGGGGCGGGGCCAGGCCTCACTTCCGGACACGCCCCCGCCCCGTCTTAAAGGGCCTACGCGCCCAGCCTCGCGCTGGAAGTCGCAGCCCGGGGCACCATCGCGGCTCGCCGCCGGGCTCCGGCTCTCTGGCTGCGGTGCTCACGGAGGCTGACGGGGACCCTCGGCACCCTGGGGGGGTTTCCCTGGGTGCCTGGGCCTCGCCCTCTTCCTGGAGGGCGTCCGCCCTCCCCGCCGGCTCCGCCGGCCTCTGCTCTGCCCTGAGCTCGGTCCAGGTCCGCGTTCCGGAGCTCCCGGAACCCGGGGTGCGCTCGGGAAGGCCTGGGCACCGCCCTCCGCTCCCGGAGGACCCCCCCCCCAGGCTCACGTCCCTCCCCGAGCCCAGACCCCGCGTCCAGTCCTGGGACTCCCAGATCTCGTTTTCCAGACCCGGTTTTCGCCGCCTCCAGAGCCCTCCTCGGAGCCCGAGACCCCCGGCCGCGCTCCCCGAGGCCGCGCCGCCGCTGCCAGCCCCGAGTCCGTCCCGGGGCCGGGGCCGAGCTCCGCGCACCTGTCCTGCCCGGGGGCCCTGCCCTGTTACCCGAAAATACCGACCCCCCTGCGCCTGCTCGGCGCCCGCAGGGTCCGGGCCCCGCGCCCTGACGCCGCCCCGCTGCACCTGCGGCGCCGCGCCCGCGGACAGCTTCCTGCTCCCGCGCCCCGGGGCTCCCGAGGCCGGCCTGCCACGTCCTGGGGGCGGCGGGACACTTTCCCGCGGATGGTGGGAGAAGGCCCCTTCCTCTTTCGAAGGCTGTCCCGGGCCGCCCCCCCGCCCCCGCCTGCCTGGCGCTTCGGGGTCAGTTCCCGCCGCTGGCACGTCCCAGAACCCGGTTGCATCCCGGGTTGCTGGCTCCGATCTGCGCCTGGAGAGGGGCGAGGGCGGGGGCACGGCCGGTCCCGGAGGTGGGTCCCCCCCTTCCCCAGGGGCCAGGCTGGGGGCTCGGGCCCCAGCCACGCGGGCTGACCCCTCTGGGGTCCCTGCCCAACGTTGGCAATCCTCCCCCCTCACTTCTGCCGCCCGCGCCCCTGACCCCCATCCCCACCCCCTTCTCCCACCTCACCTCTGTGGTCCGGGTTCTCTTCCTTGTGAAACTCGGAGCTGAGTTAGACCACTCGGGGTTCTGGGTCTTCTTGCTCAGAACTCTAGCTTGCGTGGCCCAATGGAGGAACTGGCCTGTTTGTAATGTGTATCTCAGACAGCATTTAGTACCGTTTGTCAAAAGACAAACTGACAGCAGGTCTAGCTGTAGTTCCGGTAGCTTTGGATTCGAGGATTAGAGGCAGCCTTCCCTACAAAGAGGATGGAGTTCTAGCCTCGCTTCTCAAGGGAGGAACAAGGAAACAGGAAGAAGGGTTCAGGTAAGAGTGATCTACTCTTACCGACCCGGAATCTCCTGTTTGCAAGAAAATCGAATGTTTGGGGATCCTTCTGCTTCCTTAAGCTTTGAATTTGATTATGGTAATTTTATGACTCCTTGGGCTGTGCTGTGACTGACTCTCCCTGAGCAAAGGAAGCAGGGGATTTTATTTATTTATACCTGATAGACTTCTTATGCCATGAAAAGATAGTCGCTGGGCTGGGAAGGTGGCTCAGTGGTAGAGTGCTTGCCTTGCATGCATGAGGCCCTGGGTTCGATTCCTTAGTACCACATAAGCAGAAAAAGCTGGAAGTGGCGCTGTGGCTCAAGTGGTAGAGCACTAACCTTGAGGTGAAGAGGTCAGGGACAGCGCCCAGGCCCAGAGTTCAGGCCCCACAACCAAGAAAAGAAAAGATAGTCGTACTCTCATGCACAATGGATCCAGACTATGTTCGAAGACGGTGGAGAGAAAATTCTAGGGGAAAGTTTAGCTGTGTGTGTGTGTGTGTGTGTGTGTGTGTGTGTGTGTAAGATAGACAGACAGACAGACAGACTGAGACAAGACACAGAGAGACAATACTGGGGCTTGAGCTCAGGGCCTGAGCACTGTTGCTTAGGTTTTTGGTTCCAAGTTGATGTTCTGTCACCTTGAGCCACACCTCCACTTCTGGAGGAAGTTGGAAATAAATTTTCTGCCTGAGCTAGCTTCCAACTGCCACCCTCATATCTCAGACTCCAGGGTAGCTATGATTACAGGCGTGAGCAACCAGCGCCCAGTGATAGAAATAATTTAGAAATAGTTACTTTCTATAGTCACCATTTTGGTGACAATCCTTTCCTGTTTTTTTCACCATTACTATTGCTTTCTTTGGAGTGAGTGGTTGGACCTGGCATATTGTAACCCAGAATTCCATGCTTCAGGCCTACAACTTCAAATATAAACGACCAAGATAAGAAAAAACGACCAATAAATGGCACAAGATAAGCAAAATGTTGAAGTTGGGCACAGCTCATGGGAGTTCATTGTAAGAGTTTTCTTACTTTGGTGTATGTTTGAACATTTTCACAATTGAAAGAATCTATATAAGGTACCTGAACACTCACATGCTAACCCCACAAGCCATCCTCAGGGCCAAACTCCTTGATGGGCTATGGGGAAGTGGGAGAGCTTAGGGGGCCCCTCTCCTGGCCCTGGCTCTGGGATGCTGGGGGGGATGCTCCTCCTCCTCCAGGGGCGGGACTTCCTGCTTCCTCCTGACAGACTACATCCCCTCCATCTGGAAGCTGCCATCTGCTCATCGTAGGGAAAAGAAAGACTAACAGCATCTGCTAGTCTCTTGAACCCTACTTGGAGAATCTTCACATTTGGAAGATGGTGATATATTGTTTGTCAAGAGACATGCTTTGCTAACCCTCATCCCTTTCATTCTAGTCTGATAGTTCATCAAAACCAATACGTTTAGTGATAAACAGGGAAGCCTTGGCTCTGAGAGGCCCTGGTTGATTATCTGAAAGGCACATTAAAGGAATTAAGTAGTCTACTGCTGGGTGCTGATGGTTTACATCTGTAATTGTAGCTACTCAGAAGGCTAAGATCTGGGAATTACAGTCTGGGCAGAAAAGTCTATAAAGACTTGTATCTCTGACTACTAAAAACTGGAAGTGGAGCCATGGCTCAAGTGGTAGAGTGCCAGTGATGAGCAAAAAAGCTTAGGGACAGCACTCAGGCTCTGAATTTGAACCCTAGTCCTGGCACTGGTGCATACCCACCCACCCACCCACACTATCCCAGCCCCCACCCCAAGTTATCTACTGATTATGCTGCCCCCTTGGTCCTGAGGGAAGAGAAATAAACTTGACAGAGCATCTTGGGAGAGTCAGTGCTGGATGTGTGGAACATCCTTCTCCACCAGCCTCTGTACTAAGCATGTCTCCATCTTGTCTCTCCCTTTACACTGAACCTGAAGTTCTACCATTAGCATCACTCCCTTGGACTGAGATTGTAAAAGGCCAGCTCAGCAAATTCCCCAGATTTAATCCTTCTTACTGCATAAGAGAGGGATCAGGAAATGGGGTTCAGAGGTCCAAAGACTTGGGAGTCTTTGTACTTTGTACAAACTCCTTGCATTTGAATTCGTCTTTAGACATGTGAATTGCTTAAACTATTCTTAGAGGGTGAGGTTAAGGGTGAAGTGTTTGCCAAGAGTAATTAAGCTGGCGTGTGGATATGGTAAGAGGTAGAACAAAAGGTGTAACTGGAGAAGCAGGAAGCAAATGTGGTGGCCTTCATGGGTGTAACCTTGACTGAGAAAAGCTCATGATGTTAGCTGGTGACCATTTCTGCCATATGCTGTGAACAGATCAAAGGTAGAGAGAGGACCATGGGTCTAAACCTGCAGGGCCCTGGAGCTCCTGGGGACAGGCAGAGATTAACTGTCCCACCTGATTTTACCTTGTGTGGCAGACACTGCCAATTGCCTCCCCAAATCCTCTCTCCTCATTCCAAATCATCAGATTGTTCCGAGTGTTCAGCTGGAGCCTCTTCTATGCATAGATGAGCCACAGAGTTCAGAGCATGTTAGAGGAAGGTTTTGTGGCTCAGCTTTCTCCTTACTGTAACAAGTCTCTGGCAGAAACAAGAGAGGAAGGTTATACTTTAGTTCTCATTTCATCATTTTAGGTTTTCTTATCGAGGGGTCAGCAAAAGCCACTCACATCTCAGCAGCCAGGAAGCAGAGAGAAAGCAAGCCAGGGCTCTAGCTTACCCCTGCTTTATTCCATCCCAGCCTCTTTGTATTGGTGTCATGCACATAATCAGAGCAGAGCTTCTCCCCTAATTTAATCTTGTCTGGAAATGCCCTCACAATACATCCACAGATGTGCTTTACCAATCACAGAAATCTGCCTGCCTGCATGACTTCCTTCCCTCCCTTCCTCCTGCCCTTCCTTGTTTTTTAAATTACATTTTTCATATATTTACTGTTATTGTAAAGGTGGTATATAGAGGGGTTATGGTTACATAAGTCACATAAAGAGTACATATCTTTAAAAATGTTTTTCCTTCCCAACCCCCTTCCCCCACAAGTTGTAAAGTTCATTTCCAGCGTAATGTCTAGTGAGGATGACTGCTGTATTAGTTCACCCTTTGTCCCACTGTTTCTGCGCTTCCCCTTCCCCTCACCAAGAGTACATTTCTTTTTGAGCAGTGTCACACCTTCCTTCATTCTCTCACATTATACATTTTTATTATTAATTTAGTTTATTGGTATAGAGGTGATATACAGAGGGATTACAATTACATGAGTCAGGTAATGAGTACATTTCCTTTTGTACAGTGTCTTCTCTTCCCTCACTCTCTCCCAGTCCCTCCCTCCCGTCTCCACCCACCAGTTGAATAGTTCACTTTTGTTAGGTTTTTAAAAAGAGGTTGCCGAGTAAGAACAGCACCAGCACGCACGTGGTATTCAGGTAAGGAGTAGGTTTATTCAGTAGACCTGCTGGGACCAGGCAAGGTTGGCACTCCACGTGGCTGGGAAAGGCCTGGGAATGAGAGAGAGCTGGGAAGAGA